GACCATATATCCTCAACCCTAGAAAGTAAGCAGTATTGCTCGGGTGCATTTCTGGACATAGCGCAAGCTTTTGACCGGGTGTGGTACGCCGGATTACTCTTCAAGCTTAAAATCCACCTACCACACTCCTTATACCTAGTACTCCTATCCTATCTTTCTGACCGCTCCTTCCGAGTTCGCTGTGGCACCGAATTCTCCGACTGCTACTCAATTGTGGCTGGCGTTCCTCAAGGCAGCGTCTTGGGCCCCATCCTTTACATTCTCTTTACCGCTGATATTCCTGTCCATCCCGATACCCTCCTGGCAACTTTCGCTGATGACACTGCTATCCTTTCTTCCAACTCAAATCCTGAAACAGCGTCCGCAAACTTACACCTCTTCCTGATTGAACACTGGTGTAAGAAATGGCGCATCAAAGTAAACGAATCTAACTGTAAACACATTACCTTCACCCTTCGGCGTAATACCTGCCCACCAGTTTGAGGGAGAAGCGTAGGGATATCCTAAGCCTCCCTTTTCCCTCCACATGTGGAGGGGACAGGATTGGTTCGGAGATCACCTGGCTAATTGTAAATAATGTATATAGGTATATTTTATCTAGGATGTTTGTTTTACTTTTATTTCTATTTTTACTTACTTATGTGTATATATATTTTTTTTTTCTTTTGTTCTTTTTTCTTATTTTTCTCTTATTACTTTATTTATTTATATTTTTGTATATATGGTATGAATGTACTTTTTGAACTCTATTATAAGTGTCCTTAACTGTGACAAATTGTAATATTTTTCAATAATGTGTTTAAAAAAAAAATCCAACAGGAAGTGAACTATCGAGCTTTCAAAATTTACACATTTCAATTTCTTCAAAATATTCTTCTTTAAAAAAAGCGTGGCCGTACAGTCCCAAAATGGTTTCCAAACATGGTTCATTGATGTCTCTGCCTTGAATTAGTTTTCAGTACTTGAATCAGTCACTGAGATACAGTATTTAGCTTAATTTCGTCATAATTGGCTTTTTAATAAAGCTGGACAGTTATGACGTAACATAATTGACCTTGGCAATAAAAAAACACAAGTTAATTTTTTCAGCATGTTAGAAATAAATTTAAAAATCAAGTGAATTTTGTAAATAAACGGCTAACAATAACGAAGAACGCTCTGAAATAAAACATCTGGAGAATACATTTCTCTTTATAAAACACTGAATACGTTTTAAAATATTTTAATCAGTTACTTAGCAAATACATTTAATCGAAGAAAAAACGCCAATGGCATTGGCGTCTAGAGTCCACTGCTATATCATTAAGTACTCATAAATATTTAAGTTATAGTGCGATATAATGATTGTATTAATATTTGAATGTATTTAATATTCATATAATAATATAATTTTTAACTTTTATATATTTTTTTTCAAAGTATATTTTGGTTTATAATTTTCTATAATGAACCTTTGTGACCGAACAAAAAATTCAAAAACTCAACTCCTCTCAAAATTTGAGGTTTCACGTTTCAGGATAATTAGAATTCGAAAAATGAATAAAAAATTTTTGGTCCGTCCGCCGTCCGCGTATTTTCTCCGAAACTACTGGACCGATTTCTTTCAAATTTGTATTTCAAATTAGAGGTCACCCGAGAATGATGTTTCTTCATCGATATTTCTATCAGTCTTTTTTTTTTATATATATATATATATACATACATATATATATATATATATATATATAACCCCAACAAACGCTCTGAAATAAAACATCTGGAGAATACATTTCTATTTATAAAATACTGATTACTTCTTAAAATATTTGAATCAGTTATATAGAAAATACAGTTAATCGGCGGAAAAGCAGATCTGGCTTAAAGGTCTAGAGTCCTATGCTACACCATTAAGTACTCATACGTTAAATAAGTTTAATTTATAGCTTGCTATAGCGATTGTATTAATATTTGATTGTATTAACCAACAAATATTCATATAATAATTTAATTTTTGTATTTTTTTTTCAAAACTATACCTCGATATTTTGCTTTCTTTTGGGTTTAGAAAAAAATGTTATATACAAATATGTTAGATAATTTGAAGTTGTTTAAGATTAAATATAACTATTTTTTATCTATTACACTTCAAAAAAGAGATATTAAGGGTAAAACAAAATATGTTCGTAATGTCAATTGTTTTTGGAATACTGCAGCTTTCAATGGGTAAAACTTGGATTTTTTATATTCACTACATACCTAACAATATAAAAAAAAAAAAATGAATTACCCGACCTTCTGCAAACTAGACTCCTTTTTTTTTTAGTTAATTTGAGTAATACAAAAGAAATACGTATATACATGTGGGGATAGTTATTTATATAAACTTTTTTGTTCATATGTTATCACTCCTATCAAAGTTTCCTTCTAATTACGGGACACCTGTGTATAAAAATAATGTAGTTTAGATTTATGTAAAGAGAATATTTTATTTTTGTATCATCTAGTATTTTGTCAAAGATTGGAGGTCCAAATTCCTTAACTGGATAATTGGCGTAAATGAACCTAAAAAACTACATTATTGCTATATATGCCCTGCATTACAAGCCATAAGATATTCCTTTAGTGAAATGGACAGCCCTTATCCTAGAGAGCAAAATTATATTGGACCGCAAGAGCACGCATGGCTGATCAAGCAGGCGTTACTTAGGGATAGGAAAAAAAAACATTATTGCATATTTTTTCGACCAATTCAATCAAAAATAGTTTTCAGGGGATCAGAGGACTCGGTCCATGTCCACATCCGAGTCTTGAGTTTTCTGAGGGATATGATGGGCACCCGACTGCTACACCAAGTTTAGACTGGTTTTGAAAATCTACCAAGATTTTAAAGTAGATATGAAACTAAATCTGTCTCATGTCTATTCAATCACTGAATAGAAACGAGACGGATGACTATATTTGTGACTCAGAAACAAGGTGGACATGACAAGAATAATAAATTGTATTATGAGTAGACGCATGCAATTCGCATAAGTGAAAAGGACAGGTACAAATATTTAGACTTGAGAATGGCTCGACGAGCAGAAACGTCGTAATTGTGATGATTAAGTTGACAAAATTTAAAAATTGGTTTAAAATTGGCTGATAATAAATAAACTTGAAAATCAAATATATATTGTATAATCAAATCAATATAATAATATATATATATATAAAGAAGAGAAGAATAGTTGGGGTGGTCAGTCAAAAAAGAAGGCAAAAATAAATGATAATATTTATTTTTACATATGCCGACGTTTCGACCTGAAGTTCAGGCCTTCATCAGGGCTAAGAAAATAACCAGATAACAAGGTATGAGAAACATAAGTAGTGATGGTAAAAAATAAATAAATAAAAAATTATAAAATAAATATAAAGTGAAATGAAATCGTTAGAATAATGACAATAGTAAGAACTAAGAGATAAATAATAATAACCGTTACAAAGTGTTGAATGATGAAGTAGGCATAATCAAAAAGGGTGACATAAGTGTTAAAATGGGAGAGAGAATCACATTATTATCATAAAAGGGTGCTGCCCAATTACATTGGGTTGCTTTAAACACAGCATACTTATTAATCGCTACAGACAATTTTCCAAAACTAATATAAAATTATATAGTATTAACAACATGTATGTGCATAATATACAATTTTTTTATCTATATATATATTTTTTTTTATCATAATTTTCTTTCCTATATTTTTATTTATTTATTTTATTTTTACTATTTCTTTCATTTATTTATTAGCATTTATTAGAATAAATGTAAAACTATTCTATTTTATTATAAGATTCCCATTTTAACACTTATGTCACCCTTTTTGATTATGCCTACTTCATCATTCCACACTTTGTAACGGTTGTTATTATTTATCTCTTAGTTCTTAATATTGTCATTATTCTAACAATTTCATTTTACTTTATATTTATTTATATTTTTTTATTTATTTTTTTTTTTTTTTTACCATCACTACTTATGTTTCTCATACCTTGTTATCTGGTTATTTTCTTAGCCCTGATGAAGGCCTGAACTTCAGGTCGAAACGTCGGCATATGTAAAAGTAAATATTATCATTTACTTTTGCCTTCTTTTTTGACTGACCACCCCAACTATTCTTCTCTTCATTATCCACAATAGTCAACCATTTACCAATTATGAATAATATATATAGAGGATCATTGATTATAAAAAAGGATTAGTAAATTCTGCTTCACAAATTGTAACAGGAATTAAATATAGCATTAATTATTTCAATGGCTGTACCGCCCTGACTCAGCCTCCGCTGGCTTTTAACAACAGTGAAGTGGTTGAGGGAGAAGCGCAGGGATCTCCTGAAGCCTCGCTTTTCCCTCCACAAGTGGGAGGACAAATCTGGTTCGGAGTTCCCATGACCGATTGTAAATAGTGTAAATAGGTATGCCTGGTCTAAGATGTGTATTTTTATTTTATTATTACTATTATTTATATTTTCTTCCTTCATTATGAGATTCTTATTTCGCTATATATTATTTTGAAATTACTTTATTTATTTTTTGATTTTGTAAATATGGTTTGAATGTGCTCGCTGATCTCTATTATAAATGTCCTTTATCGAGACAGATTGTAATATTTATCAATAATCAAGTAATCCAATTTAAAAAAAATAAAAATTATTCCATGATGTTAAACGAGACCATATATACATTTTCAGTGACTTGACAGACGATATAGAAAGTTTCATAACTAAATTTGAGATAATAAACTTATGTTACGTGTTCAGTAAACAATTTCTTTATCTATGTTAGCTATGAGATGACAACTCACAAATATCAAGAACTTAGTTTAAATACAATGATTTGGACATTTTCTATTGGACAAACTTATTCTTCTTCATCAAGTTTTACATACGTCCAAATAATAAACTTATTTTTGAGACGTTAAATTAAGAATTTAATTATTGCATTAAAGAAATTAATCTTGAATACGTTGTCTGACCTACCGTGGAAAATTTTCTCATTTTGGCCTTGGAGGAGGGAGATGAAGAAAGAAGAACTTCTGAAGACTCATCTTCCGGAAGCTTAGCTGGGACTCTGAAATATAAAATGGGGAATATATTAATTTATCTCCTCAAACTATATCTAAATATAATTTCATATAATTATAATATACTCCATTTAAAGAGATAAATTTTTGAAATAATATATCAAGACAGATAGGTTTTTAAATTTATTAACTAGATGTGGCCCCCGGTTTCTTCTTCTTCGTAGGCACGATAATTTATTTATTTTTACTTCAACTTACCTATATATGAAATATATAGTAACGGAAAGTATTGAGATCGTGAAAAATTTTGAATCTTAGTTTTCAACGGAAATACTCGTTTGAGTCCACATATCCCAACTTCCGCAAAATGGTCTGTGTGTGTGTTAACAGTCAAGCTCAAAAACGAAAAGTCGTACGAAAATCAAATTGCATATTTAAGGTTTCTGTATGCTAGGGATGTTACAGCAACTTTTTCGTCAAAATGGGCTAACCTTAAATGCACTTAATATAATTGACTAAAAACATTTTTACGATTTTCTCGAAAACGGCTTTAACGATTTTTATTAAATTCATTATGCTAGTGTAATATTAAGCAATGTAAAATAAAATGTAGTTTTTACTCTGATTGATGTTCTCTAACAGGGCTTAAATGGCTAAGTTTCAATATTAGCTTCCCCTAAAGTACTTTTAATTTTTTTTATTTGAAACAATTGACCATTTCACATTAATCTCAAATATAAAAGGTAGTTACATACAAAATATGAAAGAATTTGAAAATTAGCTAAAGGAGAAATAAGAGATCGTAAAGGAAAATTGTAATAATTGAGGAACCAAAGGAACACGAGCGCACCCGAGCTTGGCCGAAAGATTAGAACACGCTTCCATACGTAATGTGTGCTAAATATAATAAGGACTCCGACGGTATTATGTAATATACATATGTGATTTTCATAAATGCTATTCTTGGTATTATTTAATATTTAATTATATAAATTACAGGGATATAAATATTAAAATTTGTATATATAAAGCTACTTATACAAATATAAATAAATATAGCGTTTACAATTTTTACTTTCACTTTTCCTTTGTCTGAAAATGCTTATTTCTGCTAAGAAGAGGGTGGTAAGTGAAAGTTGTGTGATGGTAGTACTGCACCAGATTTTTCCATTTTTTTTTTAAATATAAATTCTGAAATGTGTTTTTTTATTGTCTTTTTTAATATAATTTCTCAAATGTGGGTTTTAGTCGCTACGTCATACCATTAATATTTCATCAGATTTAATGCTTTTCTTATCATTTTGAAGAATATTTTTGGATATTGACTCAATGGCTCAAAAACTTGAAAGGTCAGAGGATTTTAGATCAAGTATATATCTCAAACCGGGATTCCTTATTTCTTCATTAAATTTGGTATCTTTTTTTGGACACCTCGTTTCTCAGAATCCTTCGCTGCAGAAAAATGGAAAAGAGGCTTATACTGCATGTAACAGACTCTGACAAGAATAACTCACTACAATAGACAACCATACTGTTGTCTATTGTAACATCACAATAAGCACACAACAAGCATGCCTTCATTGCCAATTCCTAACCATCCGGAGATTGCCGATTTTGTTCAGAGGAAGTGACCTACATTAATATTGTTTTTCGATGGGAACAAAATTTCATACTCTACAACTTTGATTGTATGAGTTGTTGCTCTTAAGGGACTTATTTCCAAGCTACTTATTTATAGTAATTTGTCTCAGTTTTTGACAAATTTGGTAAAAATCAGCGTTGATTGACTTCGGTTTTCAACCATAACACTTAATCAAATTATTAGGTTTAGGTACTCTTTCGACGTACAATATAACGTTCTTTAATTTTGTAAAGAGTATATTTTTCGCTTTGGTGCAGAGGTGAAAAAACAAAAAAATATCGAACAAATCTGTAAAACAAAATGTTGGCTGTAAAAAGATTTCCCCTTGGTGGCCCGCGTTAGCAATTTTATTTGTTTCATGTCTAAGCCTACATATGTACGTTAAATAAAAACTCTTTTTTCACATGTTTCGTAATGGATTTCCCATTTCGATCCTCAAGTTACTAATATTCTTTAAATCAGCCGCCATTTTTGAAAGAAGCGGCTCTGAAATGAGAGACAAGGTTCATTTTACGTATAATAACATAAGATTTCCTAATTTACATTCAAACCTCCGCCTACGATCAGGTCGATTTTTGGACTCTGGCTCCAGAGGTATAATCAAAGGGTCTTTGAACCATATCAAAACACTCAAGATTTAGCAATGGCCAATCCAGGGATATGATACCATCATCTTAGTTGATAACAACCCAGAACACTGCTGGATATATCTGTACCTAGAGTAGTCACCAAGCTGGTCGTTCCCTCTGTGGTTGTTGGGCATGTTGATGATGATGAAGAACCTCGGTACACTTATTCCTGAAAGACTGGTGCGCGCACAATAATAACTGCTGTCTAGTTCAAAAATGATTATAATCACTGATAAAACGCATTCTTACGCCACAACAAACAGTCATTAGATAAGATTAAATTTCTTATTATGAAAGAAGTGAACAATTAAAACGGTCTAATTTATTATCTATAAATAAGAACAAATTAAACAACTAACTGATTAAAAAAAAAGTCAACCTTTCACATAAACATACATTGCTAAGATAATTGAAAAGCCTTTATTATATGATAAAGTGTAAACATATTGTATCAACCAACCAACAATACACATGTCACGTATCACACAAATTTCAAATACAATCTTCTATAATTAATTTTTTTTTAAATTTATTATTTATGATATTTACAACTGTATTAGAAATAAACATACATTCAGTAAATGTGAACACAGGAATATAATAACATGAAACCACTTGTTGAGAAAATACCCAATGGTAGCACTCTAATAATGTTTTTCCAACAGGAGATCACGAGGCCATTCTTTTCAGACGCCTCGGAGGGTTATCAGGGATCGAGAATGAAGCAAGATTAGAAACGAGAGGGTTTGGATGGTTCTGAAGTTTGTTATGGAAGGATAGGTATCTGGATCGGGCCAGGTCATAAACATAAGGAACATTAAGGTCTATATGGATGATTTTATTTGAGACAAAGAAACATAAAAATAAGGAGCATTGAGGATTTTACGAAATATTTTAGATTGTAAGGATTGGATACGAGAGGAATTCGATGGTTTAGTGGAGCCCCAAAGCTCGACTCCGTAAGTTCAAATAGGCCTTATTGTAGTCATGTATATAAGTCTTTTGTAATTAACTGGAAGCTTAGAGCGTTTGTCTAGTAAGTGCTGGAGTAGTAGGAAACGTCGAGCGGTTTCTTGTCATTTCAGTCTGGTATGAGGATTTCAAGTTAGACTTTTGTGCAAGTGGAGTCCAAGGTATCGGATTCGTTCAACAGGGATAAGTGGGGTATTATTAAAGGATACTGTGGGACATGAGGTCATAGGTTTACGGCGAAGGGTAAAGGTGATTTGATGAGATTTATTGGAATTGATTTTAATCCTCCAGTTTCGATACCATTCTTCATTTTTGAAATTAAATAGACCCATAGAATATTTTTAAAAATTTATATTTTAATTCTAATTGTGCTAAAGCTGATATTCAGTCGTCTGCAACAGCTAAAAGTAATCTGCCATCATAGAAAATAAAATATGAAATCATACTAATAAAACATAAAGATATAATCAGTTTGTTTTTCTTTTTTTTTTTTACGATCGCAGTTCTTTCCCGCAGGCTGAGGAAACTAATGCTTGTGCAAACACACGTTACCCGGAAACCAGACCATTGGGAGTTATTTTTTCTTCTTCTTCCTCTTTGTATGCCTTTCAGCATGGAGAAGCCTCCAGCCACTTCGACCATACTTTCTTGTCTCTTGCCGATTCCTTCATCTGACCTTGGGTTTCCTCTCTTTTCTCACCTAGTCGGATATGTTCCAGATATGTTCTTCTAGGCCTGCCTCGTGATCGCCTGCCAGTTGGCCTCGCTTCCATGCATTTCCTTGGTATCGTGCTTTCTCCCATTCTACACATGTACCCATACCGTACTAAGTTGCCGACATTCCTTAGTTACTTTCAGTTCATCTTTCATTGGCCACATATACGTACTATTTCTTTCGGGCTTTCGTATGTTGATTTTATCGCTGCCAAAAGGTCCTCGGGACTTTTTCTTTTAAGTGCTCTCCATATTTCACATCAGGGTACTTGGTCGAAGGCAGCTTTTAAGTCTAAGAAAGTATATATACTTCGATTTCTAGCCCATGCCTTTTCAGCAACACTTCTGAGGGTAAATATGTAGTCTTTCGTTTGCTTCCCTGGTCGGAAACCAGCCTGATCTTCTTCTAATTCTGGTTCTATCAGTGGTCTTAATCTTTTTTCTAATATAGTGGTGTGTCACATTTTGTAGGTCACCTTTAGTAGGCATATAGGCGTATAGTTGCTACATTTAGTTGTGCTATCTTTCTTATGAATTAGCACTATGATCTTCTTCGGAATAACCTTATCCATCTCATATCTTCTTAAAAAGTGCTTGCAGTGATTTTATCATTTTATTTTCTCCATATTTAATAAACTCTGGGAAAATGCTATCTCTATCTCCTGCTCTGCCTAGCTTTATTTTTTCTAGAGCCCTTTCTATATCATCATCCCAGATAGTATCATATTCAGCAGCCTGATTGGTCTCTTCTTCGGTTTCTGGATGTTGTTTGAGATCAGAGAACTATGAAGAGTTATACTGACCCCATCTTTCCAAGATCTTGTCTGGATTTGTGATCATATGTCCGCCATCATCGTTTATGTTTCTGATCTCTTTGGATGTTTTCCCCATCAGTGCGTTTACTGTATCTTCCAGAATTTCTTTATATTTTCCCTATAATCACTGTATAAGCTTTTTCCAAATTGTTCCCATGACTTTTTCTTGGCCTCTCGAATAACACTCTTAGTATCATTCCTCCACTCAACATACTATCCCCAGTTCTGTGACATAAGGTTCATCAGGTATGCCTTCCATGCCTTTTTCTATTTGTGTTCTGTTTCTTTGGCTTTTTCGCTCCACCATTTTGTGCGCTTATATCTGGTATTTATTTTCTTCACTCCACATACTGACCTTGCCGATTCAAGTAAGCTATATTTTGGGATACCCGGGGGTCCGTAAAACCCCGTTAATTGCGCACAACAATTAACCCCTGCGGCAATACAAAGTAATTACAACCTCCTATCACGGTGCCGAGAGAGCTTTTAACTCTGGCATTAATCCTCCGCTCTCTCCACTAACACGAGACAATCATTGTAAAGCCCAAAAGGCGATTGGAAGTATCCTATTTAAACTTTATTTACTTTTATATTAATTTTGTTTTGTTTTTTAATTTTACTTACCTGAGGTAAATAATGAATCCAGAAAAATGTTCTGTGTTTCTTTGTCTTTATGTTTACAGCTAGATTGAAAAACGAAAACTTTTAGTAAACTTATATCATGTATTTAAAACAGCTATATATATGCCTGAGAAGTTACATAAACTTTTTCACAAAACTCAACTTTATACAATTAACTTTACATATTTTTATAAATCCCTTGAAAATGGCTTTAACGATTTTCATTAAGCCCGTTATATCGGTGTAAAATTAAATTTTTGGCTGTAAGTTTTGCCTTGGGTGGCCCCCAATAATTGCGTGAGCAATTTTATTTTTAAAATGGCTAACCCATATTTATAAGTTAAAAAAAAACTTTGCTCACATTTTTCCCAATGGATTTCCCATTTCGATTCTCAAATGACTGGCCAAATATTCTTTAAATCAGGCGCCATTTTTTACCAAGCTTAAAAATATTTCCTTCTCAACTAGTTCCCTTAATTGGTTCCAATCCTTCCTTTCCGACTGCTAACAGTATGTTGTAGTCTCCAATAACCCCCCATCAGAATCTTTACCTTTTTCCAAGGGTGTCCCACAAGGCTCCTCTTTATCTCCCACCCTTTTTTCCATCTACATCAATGACCTTTCATCCACTATCCTACACTGTCAATACCATTTGTACGCCGACGACGTCCAGATTTACCTCTCCTTCAATCCAACCGAATCCTCTGGCGCCATCCAAAAATTACAGGAAGATATAAACGCAATATGTGCCTGGGCAAACCACAATAGGATTACTCTAAATGCCAATAAGACGAAAGCCATTCTGATCGGATCTCCCTCACTCCTCAATTCCACATAGATACTCCCCACTCTTTTCCTGAACAACTCACCTATCTCATTCCATACTTCTGTAAAAAACCTTGGTGGTACATTCGATCAAACCCTCTCCTGGAAACCACACATCTCCTAAATTTCCCGTCGTACTATCTCTACCCTGAAACAGTTTAACCGTCTCCGCTATCTCCTTCCATATAAATCCCGTCAACTCCTGGTTTCCTCCCTTGTGTTCCCCCACTTCGGCTATGGCTGTCTGGTGTACAGCGGACACTCGGGAGAATTCGAGGACCAAACTTAAACGCCTGATGAACTGCGCAATACGTTTTGTTTTCAGAATCTCAAGAGATACGCATATAAGCCAGTATTACCCAAATTGAAGTGGCTCTATCCATCCAACCGCCGTCCATACTTCCTTACCACCTTTCTATACCAAGTCATCAGAACTCAGCGACCTTCCTATATTTTTCTCAGCCTACAATTCAAATATTCCATTCAACCCCGTCTCACTAGATCTCGTACCTCCGACCTCTATCCACCCCTCCCCTCCCCCCACCGAACTGCAGCTTTTGACAAATCCTTTATAATTCAAGCCGTCTCCTTCTGGAATACCATCCCTCCCGATATCCGACATGTACAATCAGTTTCCTAATTTAAATCTCTCCTTTTTAACCACCTACTCCCTTTCCAACCCGATTGATTATGAAACGTAGATGAAAGAACTTTTAAAGTTCCCCCAGAAATGATTTTCTTTACTTATACTATTTTATTTTCCCACGATTGTATTATACATATCAGAATGTTTTTAGTGTAATAGTTCCTTTTTTTGTTTTGTTCTTTTTTCAAAATCTTTATCTTAATAATAATTAATTTTATGTATGGCCACACAGGCATTTATTCTGTATATGTAATTTGTCCTAAAGGGACAACAGTCCCAGGATAATAAATAAATATTTTCATTTCGTTTCATTTTCAAATATTTTAATCCATATATTTAACCAACCTCGTAATCATTTGGTTTTCGACACTATTTTTTCCTTTTCGTATCCCTAACATGGTGTCACGTTAAAATACAAATATGGAATCAATGCCAGAGTTAAAAGCTCCCCTGTTACCAGAACGTGTCCTCGTAACTATTTTATATCTAATGAGAACTTCAGTTTATTAATCATCTGGTTACCGAGCAACGCTGATATGAAGGTCAAATTGTATATGTACGATCTGAAGGGACTGGGTTTGGAGGGCGAACTGTGTACAGTTGAACATTTTATACATGTAAGTTCAAAATTTATTTATCATTTCGTATTTTGACAGGGAATAGCACTAATAAATACTAAAACTAAATAACCTATGAAAGTACAATATTTACATTATATGCAATCAAATTAATTACTATTAACAATGCAATCTGCTCCGACACAGCTGATAAATTAATTATCTACTAAGCAGATGGTAATAGTGGCCTCTTCTCTCCATCAGCTGTTCATGGTTCCCTTCCTCAACTACCACACCGGACTGGATGACCACTATCTTGTCTGCCTTACGGATCGTCGACAGTCTGTGAGCTATCACGATAGTGGTCCTACCGACAGAGGCGTTCTCCAGAGCTTCCTGCACTGCCTGTAAAGAAAATATAAATAATAAACACAAACATCATATTATTTATACAAGTATAGTGATGCTATTGTTTTTACTTATATGCGATCCATAAAGTAAGGAAAAGAATTGTGATCATAAATAAATTCAAAACTGAATTCCCAAGTCAAAATAATCAAACCTTATAAATTTGTAAATTTGGTTGAATTTTGTTTAAAGGTTATACAAAATGTTCACTATTTAAGGTAGATGAATGTCTGCAATACCAGATTATTTAATTGTTTGAGCGCCTTTTTACAATTTTATAAAAATGATTCGATTGGCAATGACTAGTATAAATCTTCAATAGTTTTTTATCTAAGAAAAATAAAGAAATTATTGAATATTTTCATTAATCACATCCGAACTAGATTTATTAATTTTTACTTTCACTTACGTATATATGTAATGTATAGTAAGGGTATTGCGATCGAGAAAATTTTTGAATCTGAGTTTTCAACGGAAATACACGTTTTGAGGTACCCTGAGTCGAAATGACCAACTCCCGAAAAATGGTCTGTGTGTTTGTATGTTAGCAGTCTAGCTCAAAAACGAAAAGTCGTGCGAAACTGATATTACGTATTTAAGATAGGCATGTGCCTTAGATGTGACAGCAACTTTTTCTTCAAAATCGGCTAACCGGAAGTGCCACTTTATATCAACGCTAAAACACATTTTTATTATTTTCTCAAAAACGGCTCCAACGATTTAAATTAAACTCGGTGTATAATGAAGTAATCTTTAATACCAATTAGGTCTTATCCTCATTGATGTCACTTTACAGAGCTTAAATGCCCAATGTTCATATACGTCTTCCTCTAAAGTACCTTTAATATGGTTTATATTAAAATGTTAATCATTTCAAATTATTCAGAGTTACGAAAAAATGCTAAATATAACTTTTGAAAGAATTTGATAAGTTAATAAAGGAGAAACAAATAAAAATGCAGAAAAACCTGCATTGCTATAGACTGTAGCGCCTAAACGAATGTACCGATTTCAATGAAAATTCGCTAAAGTCATTTTCTCTAAACCCTTTAAATTTATCTATATAACATACTTCAACGAAAAGAAGCTGGACAAAAAGTTACGAGGGATGTTAAAATTAAATTCCGAATAATTCAAAAAGTATACACTTTTTGGGGATATTGTATGGTTTTTTAAAAGTTTACGGAATTTCCTAAAAAAGAAAAAAAAATTCATTAAATCGGACAATTAGGAGGAATGTTATTGTCTCTAGCTTTTTTTTTTTAATATGTTCTGCTTCAAAGCTTATATCTTTTGTTATATCAACTTACTCACTGTCTGCATAGATAACTTTTTCAACTAAAAATATCACTAAAATGACTATTAAAAAATGTTGAAATTGGAGTTAGTCATTCTGTGGTTTATAAAAGCAAAGAAAGTCGTGTAAAAGCAGATGGAGTGACTAAATTTTTATTGCCTACTGTCGATATATTAAATACACATATTTTTTCTTTTTTTCTGGGAAGTTGCCAATTTATTTAGTTGCTTGGCAATAATAACTTCCAATTATTAACAATACGAGTACATTTTTAACGATACTTGTTAACAGTCTAGTTTAGGTTTCGGGACCTTTTATTCCCATCTTCAGAACTGGAATTCCAATACTCTTTTGGATGCAAGGCTAAACATTTTTTTTAAGTTACAATATTGTTCTTGTTACATTACATATTTGTATTATGTTTGTTATAATAAATTTGTAATTACCTTAATTCTAATATTATTGCCAAGCAACTAAATAAATAGACATTTTGTAATTATAATGGTCTTAATGACTTGTTTTCTGTAAGCTTTAAGGTTTATCTCGGTCTAAAATGCACTTCATAAAATTTTATAATAGCCCAGTATTGCCAGAAAGTAATTGCTATTCAAAGTAGAGCGGTAAGTGAAAGTTGTGTGTTGCGCGCACCAGATGTTTTATCTGAAAAATAGCGAAACTTTCATTCCATCGATATTAATATTATAAAGTAAATACCTTCGAGAATAGCATTCGGAAAACTAAATGATGTAACAGAATCAGCCAAGTATGTAAAAACAGAAGTGAAGCGTTTGTTGCATTACGACTGAATAACAGGTACTTTCAATGTTTCTTAACATGTTAGTTAACTCATATTGTTTTCTTTGCTTTTTTTTAATAATTCTCATTTTGCTAACTGCGCCGATGTATTTATGTCATTTAAACGTTTTATAATAATAATATTCTCTATCGAATATTCTGCTAGATTATCTGAATCAGCAAGGGTCTAGACTCAAACAGTTAGTAATATAATTTTTAGCCGTATCTGAAAAGAAATATGTAGTCAATTTACTTTATTAGCGTTTATAAATGTATGTTTATAAGCAGGAGTTAATCGTATCGTGTTTGGCAGCCTTTCACGTCACGCTACTGTGGATTCAGGTACCGGCACCACGACCACTCCTCTTAGCGCACTGTCATTTCAAGTATTTAGCTGAATATGAACTTTTCTTATTATTTCAAATTATAATTATAATAATTTCAGCAACCTCAATCTTATGTATCGTCGGTTTATTACAAAACGGCATTATGAAATAAAAAATTGAACGCTTGCTGTAAATATACTTCATATATAAAAGGTTTTGTATATTTTTAGTGAACTGACTGTTTATCGATAAATAAGGTCGAAATTCACATAAAGTTCGGCTCCATTAAAAATTGTACATTGAGAATTATCGTTTGTTCCTAATAATAAACTGACGATATATTATTTAACCACTTTAATAATATTTCAGGATATTGCTAATATAAATCGGAAATAAGAATTTATCAATAAGATACAAATATTTGATCAAACTTCAGCACCTTCTCATTCTCTGTATCCAACGCAGATGTAGCTTCGTCCAGGAGTAATATCTTGGGGTTCCTGAGAACAGCTCTAGCAATGGCGATCCTCTGCTTTTGTCCACCTGATAACTTCGAACCTCTTTCCCCCACTGAAGTATCATAAGCCTAAAACGTTAATAGGAATATAAAAATAAATATTCATGATTATTATAGTATAGTTGTATTGATTCCTTGATGTAGTATTCCATAGTATAGAACCATTTTCATGAAATTATTGACATACGCCTAAAACTTCGTGAATGGCTTCATTTTGTCTTAAACTATATTTTATCTACGAAAATTCTCGGAACTGAGGCGTTTGGCGTGTGTAAGAATGTAATACCATTACTATATATTTCATATATAGGTAAGTGAAAGTAAAAATATTAATCATTAAATTCAAAATTCTATTCTCTACAACTTGTATTCAATATATTTTCATCCATAATAGCCACTTTTAAGAAATAAAAATAGAATGATAATGCTTATAAAGGGATTTTTAAAGAAAATTTGTAGATCACATGTTTTATTATTGGACATTTAGATTCTTGTGAGTATCCAAATCGGATGTTTAAGGTACTCATTTTAAGCAGTATTTAACGTTATTTAATTCATAATCGAATAAAGTTTTTATTTGAATACGCCATTTAAAAGTTATAGGTCATAAACTGAAAAAAAAAATCAGAACAAAAATAACAGAATTTTGAACATCCAGCTCTCCTCCCCTTCATCAGCCTTGGTCCCTTTCTTAGAACGGAACGAAAACTTAAGATACTATTATCTGGCATAGAATGAACAGATTAAAACCATGTAAAACTTATAAATAACATGTTTAAAGTTTAATTTTAAATAACTTGCTTTTTGGCGGGAATTGGCAAATAGCCTTCCGCTTTGTATCGGGGAACTAGGTTATTTACACTCGTGAACATTAAAACAAAACCCCGGCACCAGATATAGACTTTTTGAGGGTGTTTAACTGTTGTTGGGAATTCGGGAACCTAATACTTTTGTGACACTGAGTGAGAAGAAACAATAAGAATATGTATATGAAATGTGGGACTTAGTAAATACACTTTGAATGAATTGACTCACCTGGTTTATTATTCTTCAATCGTGAGGCATATAGGACAACTAAATAAATAAATGACTTTTCACTCCTGTCTAACAAAACAATTTATTTTACAAATGTAATAAGTGAACGTATTAAAGTCTTATAAATTTAGGCTTGATACTCTTGGTCTTCAATGTTCTGCCTCTCTCATCTCAGGTAACGTCCACTCTCCTCCATGTCTCTCCCTCAAGTGCCCTCTCTCCTCTTCTCGGCGCCCTCTTTCCTTCTTCATCGATTATTTATCGATATGAGACTTTTCAATGAATAATTTGTCCACTGCACAATTGAGTACAATTCACAGTGCAATCTCACATTCCTATATATTATATATTCCTTCTCCTTCCCTCACATAATGTCACACAAAGAAGTAAATACAGAGGGCTATCTACTACAAACTTTTCAAAACTCCCTTCCAGCCGTGGTGACCAAAAGATTTGGTGGGAAAATAATTTATGTCTTATTTTTGTATGTTAAGCCAAACGCCCCAATATTTTTGTAGGCGACTACATTATTTTATCTCAAAATAGCTGAGTTGTCATCTTCGTGGCCTACGGAAGTGGTGACAAAAATAACTGTTCTAAAAATGACACTTCAGTTTTTTAAGAGAAATAACACATGCAATAAACGTTATGTCTGAGTAATTTACTATATTTCATATTTTTTAAATATTCTTTCCATGTAATCAAAAAAACTCTCTAAGGCAGTAGTTTGGTGATCCCCGTCATAACCTATTTTTTCATCTAGCAACATTCTCGGAAATGAGGCGTTTTCAATCAGAAGAAACTTTGTCTATTTAATGCTCAAATAAAATCGCATAATATACAATAATTACACTTTAATTGTTATCTAATTAAATCACAAAATCGAGAAAAAAAGGTGGCTTACAAAAGTATTGGGCTGTTTGGCTTATGTAATCTCGTTATTTTAATATGAATATTCTTCTCAATTTTGTGATCGAATTGTCTTCGTTTCAAGTAGAAAGCAAATGAATGTTCAGGAGTTTTTCTCTCAAGACCAACATCTGGCTCACCATCTAGGACTTGTATGTTGTGAAAGTTGTATATTACGATAAGATGAAGTCCTTCAAGAGGTTTCAGAGGGATGTTAATAATTTGATAAAAAATGGTTTACACCGCCGACTGTTATTTTGCTTCTTCTTAAGTTGTATTAACTTCAACACTTAATAGCACAGTACATGTGACTTTTTGCGCTCAAGATAAGTTTTTATTCCATAATGCTAATTGTTGTATTAATAACAAGTTATTAACAAAGTGATACAAATTTTACAATACCTGGGGAAGCTTCATTATAAAGTTATGGATGTTTGCTATTTTCGCAGCTTCTATGATCTTGTCCATTGTAACCTTTTCTTCTAAACCATAAAGAATATTTTCCTTTATTGTCATATCAAATAAGACTGGCTCTTGTGAAACGAGACCCATCTGACTTCGCAAATATCTCACGTTTATATCATTGATGTCGTTGCCGTCGATCAACTGAAAAATTTAAGTTGAAATTTAAGAACTGAAAATTTATAATTTTAAATAATGAAGAATTTATGACATTAATATGGCTACTAGTTATATCTAATGGCCCACCTATATTATTAAATGTTACTCTACTTTGACAGATGGTACAATATTTCACGATCACACCATAAATAGAATTCTCAGAATGACCGAGTATGTCCGAAAGCAGGGGTTGACCGAAAACTCTACCGAAAAGGATCCATTGAAGATTTAATCATCCCTTTTGAACGATCGTAGCGAGCAAAAGTCGAAAGCAGTGATGTAATTAAAGCTAATCAATACTCCAATATTTACTGAAAAGGTCCATTAAGAATGCTGTGTAAGTCGTATATCACAACCTAAAAAATCTGGTGCTCTACTTTGACTAAAAATTATTTTCTGGCAATGGTGGGCTATTATAAAATTTTTGAAGTACACTTTTAACGGAGCTACAGCTTAAAGCTTACAGATAACAAATCATTAAGAGCATTAAAGACACAAAATGTCTATTTATTATTATTATATCAACGGTAGGCAATAAAAATCTAGTTCCTCCATCAGCTTTTATTAACCTCGGTTGCCAGAATGACTAACTCCAATTTCAATGAGTAAGTTGATTCCAAAGTAGGTGATTGCAGTGTTGAAATATTGAGCTGTGAATAAAAGTATACATTTTGCAACTAGAAACATCACTAAAATTAATAATAAAGAATGTTGTAATCGGAGTTAGTTATTTCAACCAAAAGAATCATATATGCCTAGAGAGATTATAGATTGTAGGACTATTAGTTATTAAACTTTTATTTTCCATTGTAAAGTTTACTAAAACGAAATTACAAAATGTTTATTGCCGGCCATGGATAGGTCAAAAGTTGTCACACTAATAGTAAGTGGATAATGTTGGGATTTCACAAAATCCATCAAGTTATTCATTTAATTTTCTAAAAGGTTACTTGATGTTTTTTTGGAATAAATGGCCAATAGATACCCAATTCTTTAAATATAATATCATATCTAGAGTTATTAAACTACAGTAAATATATTTAAGGTTATAAACATATTCATGAAATATTTTTATATTTCAAAGGAAGGAGATGGTCCGGGGTTGCGGTCATAAAAAGGCTAAATAGTGGTAAAACTATTTTATTGAAAGCCAACGTTTCGACCCGACTTTGCAGGTCTTCATCAGGGCTAGAACGGACAAGATACAAAAAGATAGAGAATTGTGGCAATTACATAATATTTAGACATAATTTATAAACAATGTGAATAAGCTTATTAGAATTATAAACAGTAAGTACAATAAAATATGGACTAAGTAAGCTGAGTAACAAGATCCTAAAATAAAGTAAATAGATGCTAACAATTGTTGTAGTGTAATATATAACAAATGAAAATGTGAGTATAATTCTTATGTGAGTATAAAAATATTCAATTTTTATATTTCACTTCATCTTCCACACAAGTAAAATGAAATAGTATTTTAAACAATGGCATTGGCTTGAATCGGTGGATTTTAAAAAGTTTTCTCAAACTTAGAAAAATAATTTAAAAGTTTTCATATAGTAAGAAAATTTCATTTAATTTCCTTGTAAATACGTGATATACGATAAATAATGTTGGTTTTCTGAAATGATTATTTATATTTTTTCGTCAGTCTTCGTTACCTTCTATAACTTTATTTATTTGATATTATTATTTTTTAAATTCTGCACTTTCCAACGATAACAAATCATTAACGTATCATATCAATATACGTTATAACAAATCATACGTATATCTCCTGACTGTTATTTCCAGAGATTCATTTTCAACCTGGATAAGCATTTTTCTGTTTAATTCCAGTTTCCTATATGCCTACTTCTTCTTTGGACATCTTTCTATATCATTCTATCATCTATATCATTATAAGCCATTGCCTGGCGTCTCCTTTCTCGCTCCTGTGGTCTTATCCTTCTGCTGATTTGTGCTGCATAGTCTGTTGCAGCACACCAATTTTCAAAGCGACTCAATTCATTATCAAAGGGACTAAGTTTTCCGTAGATGATTTAGTTGCGAATTTCATTTATAATTCTTCCTTTTCTCCAGTAAAACCTAAACAACAGAAGAACGGATCTACCAGTATTTCATTCCCGATCTAGGCACTCACTAATTAGGCACGATCTATCCTCTGTATTGAAGCAGGCTATGTAGATCCTGAAGCAACTATGCTCTGTAAACAGTTGGGTTATGTAACAATCTACCTCCTCATGTTTCCGAGGTATCCAAGTTGATACATCGGGGAAAGTAGCACAGTGAGCACCCGACTCTTATCGTTTTCTTCGGAACAACTGACAAAATATCATTTAGGAGCTTTTTTGGAGATCGACGACGTCGCATACAGCATCGTAGGACACAGTATGAAAAGTTCGAGCGATACTCGGGACACTTTTTCGATGCATAATGATAGCTTTATGGGCATATGACTGCACTTGGCATACGTCTGCCCTGATCGGTGCTGCGTAAAAAAGCAAAGAACATTAGCTAAAGGCTTTCTCTGATGTCCGCTTGGTCCACCAATATTTGTTAAAATCCTGGGAAATTCATTAATTACTTGCGCTGATCTGGTACTAACTTTATGCAAGTGTTCATCAAATTGAAGTCTGGCGTCAATTTGCATAACCTAATAAAAGTTAATTTTCAAATATGCCTTTTGGGCGGGAATAGCGAATAACCTTCCGTATTTATATCGGGGAACTAGGTTATTTACTCGTGATTATTAATACAAAATCCCGGCCCTGGATATAGAATTTTTGAGGGTGTTGAACCGTTGTTGGGAATCTAATACCTTTTGACACTGAGTGAGGAAAAGAAACAATAAGAACATATATATCTGAAATGTGAGACTTAGTAAATACACTTTGAATGACTTGACTCAACTGGTTTGTTATTCTTCAGTTGTGAGGCATAATAAATTAATGTATAAATATCTTATAACAGTAGGCTTGATATTCTTAGTCTTCAATGTAGTAAGCCTCTCTTCCCAGATGACGTCTTCTCGTCTTCGTGTCCAAGCCTCAAGTGACTGGCGTCCTCTTCCAGCTGCTGCTAACTGATCGGAACTTTTTCCTTCTTCATCGATTGTTTATCGATATGAGATTTTTCAATGAATTTCAATTTGTCCACTGCACAATTGAGTACAATTCTCAGTGCAACCTCACATTCCTATATTTTCCTTCTCATTCCTTCACACAATGTCACATAAAGGAGTAAATACAGGGGGCTGTCTACTACAAGATATCTTATCAACGGCTTGCTTCAGATATCGAATTCCCCGACGGTGAGACTGATTGTCTCCCCTGACTTTCCCACTGGTTTTAATACTGCCTCAGTTTTATTATTACCCAACTGGAGGCCTACCACTGAAAGCCATTGACGAATGGTGAGGAATGTCGTGTTCGCATAATAAGCTCCAAGAGCTTTCGACGAACTACGATTGTCAGATCGTCTGCAAAGCCGTAATAGTTTCTTCTAGCAGAGATAGCTTGAGTACTATGTATTATATATTTCATAGCAATGGCCCTAAAAGTGAACCTTGAGGAACACCACATGTGATTTTTCAAACTTTTTAATCCCTCTTTTGTATCATATCTTAAGATTCTATTGGTAAATTTGCTCTCGATAATCTTTATGAGTTATTGTGGGACTTCCATCCTTTGCAATCCATTGAAGATACAATCCCACTGAACTAAATTTTTTAAAAGCATTTTAACGTCCAACGTTATAATGGCGAAGTACTTCTTACCACCTCATTCCCACAATGGCTTCCTAAGCAGCCCTGGTGACAAAATTGATGGCATCCGTTGTCGCTCTGCAATTCAGACTGATTACAGAAATCTTCGCGTTTCTTTTACAAAATATTGAAAATAAGACTAGAAGCATAATTTACTGAGATTGTTAGTATCATGTAAATTGACCATAATGGTTATGAAGGAATTAATATTTTTTAATAAAAAGTAGAATTAACTCACAATTTTCCCTTCATTGGGAAGATAGAACCTCTCAAGAAGTGAGACGATAGTCGATTTGCCGCACCCAGAATCTCCTACTAGAGCTATCGTCTTCCCTGCTTCGATCTTGAGGTTCATCTTCTTTAGAACTTGTGTTTTTTCCCTTGTCGGATAAGAGAATGTAATATCTTTGAACAAGATGTTTCCAATTATTTCCTAAAATTTATATATATTTGTATATTTCAATGAATCACCCACAAGCGGCATTTGTTTTGATAATTTATATTCAATTATACTTACTGGTTTGATTCCTTGGTCTGTCAATATATTAAGAGAATTTTTAGCATAGGAGATTCTGTAGAGTTGCCTTATCGCCTGCCTGGCTGCGGGGTACTGGCTTATCAAGATTAAGGCAGGTCCAGTCAAGACAGATGCCGAGTTTAGAGTAAATACAACACTAGACAAAAACATACCATTCAGGAATAATCATGAATAAAAAATATTAGAGATAGGTTGTGACATAAAATGGTATCAGTGAAAAGTAGTTCTTGTTCCTCGAGGATATGATTTCTAGCTGATGCCATTTCCTGCACTTTCTAACGCACACTGAAAATGTTCTCAGTTATTTAACCTTCAGTGAATGAATGAATGAATAGAGATTTTAAAGTTTTTTAATATTGTACACAACAATCTTTGGGAAAAACTTCATAGTCTTAGAGATATTCTCATAAAATATTAGTTTTCTGGCCTTCCCTCTCTCCCCCCAAAAATCAACGCGAAATTCTTTGGGACTTTTCATCCGTTATTATAGGGAAAGTAATGAACAAATTCTCACAAGTTTCATACTTATTTTTTTAATGTTGGGGTCAATCCTTAATTTTACTAAACAATGAGGAGTTCAGGACTCTGCGGCAGTGAGACATAGAGACGAATTTTTTAACTGATTATTTGTTTATTGATAAATATTACAATCTGTCTCAATAAAGCACATTTATAATAGAGTTATGAGAGCACATTCACACCATTTATACAAATTTAAAAAAAATAAGCTAACTTCAAATAATATAAAGCTACAAAAGAACAAAATAAAATATCATAGTGAAGGAAGAAAATATAAATAATAGTAATAATAGAATGAAAATAAATGAATAAAATAGAATTAAAATTATCTTTAAAAAAAATATAATGAAAATAAACATCTTAGATTACCTATTTACAGTCGGCCATTCAAACTCCAAACCATACTTATCCCCCCACAAAAAGGGGAAAGCAAGGCTTCAAGAGATCTTGAAGAGATGCGCTTCTTCCTCAACCATTTCACTGGAATTAAAAGCCAGCGGAGATTGGGTAAGGGCGCTACAACCACGGACACTCATGACTTGAGTGGAGAATCTGGCCATTGCCAGAACTCCTATATATACATGTTACAAAAGGTCACGGGGCCACTGCCGTTTCAGCCTGCGAGCAGGATTGTAGGGATTAGTGGTACTAGATAGAGATTGTGCTACGGGATTAGGGTGATGGGTAAGGTTCTGATGAAATTTGGAGAATTTTTCTGGGATAAGATCAAGAATAAATGGAATATTAAGGTCATTATGCAGGGTTTTATTGGTGACATAGAAGGCAGCATCGACTATTGTACGGAGGACTTTGGACTGGAAGGATTGAATGCGTTTGATGTTAGAAAATTTGGTTGTCCCCCCACAGTTCTAGTCCGTAGGTCCAGATGGGTTTTAGTATTGTCTTGTAGATCAGTAGTTTGTTTTCAATAGAAAGTTTAGATTTTCTTTTAAGCAGTGTATATAGCTGGCCATAACATCGGTTAAGTACCTGTCTTTTCAGTCTAGTATGCGGACTCCACGTTAGCAGAGACGAATTAATAGAAAATTTATTATATATTAGAATATTTATTCTTACCTAAGAAGTGATGTTCCACGAATATTGGTATTCGCAATTACATTGGCTCCATAAATAAATAATACGCCCATCGACGATCGGATCAATGATACAGAAAAAGCGTAAACAGCCGCAAACAAAACAATGCTTACAAATGCTTCCCTAGATAAAATTTATAAATCACATTTAATAACTACTTTAGTATTTCAAAAATAGAAAAAAATAAAAAAATTATCACTTCTTAGAACGAAGTAGCATATCCTGGTACTGGTTGACAACATATTTCTGACAGTTAAGTATTTGGATAGTTTTGACACTCTGAACATATTCCGTAGCAACCTAAAGAAGATAAAAGTTTCAATTGATCACTGTTTGTATTTCACTCTCTCAAATTATAAAATATTTACATTATTTGTATCTTTTACCTTGGTCGATCTGGTTGTGAGGTAGGCAGACCGAGCGTCTGCTTCTCTTGGCTTTAATCTTAAACAGTTGATGATGATGAATGTTAGGAAAATTGGTAAATTTGCCAATGTTACACTAGTACTTATGAAGAACGAATAGCCAATAGCCAACACAACCGAAATCATGAAGATGACAACTTGAGCTCCACTATCTCCTGTCACCTCAACAATTAAAGATAACATAATATTGAGTAGTCTTAAATGTGTGTTTAAATATATAAATATATATATATATATATACATGTATATAATTCCTTGGAAGTTGCTGCCGGCTAAGTCCGGTGGACTCGTTGATCAACAACGAGAGGGGCCCTCCAGGATTGAACTCCCTACTCACATAAGTGCTCCGTACACCACTAATAGCCGTGAATCTCCTTAAGGTAAAACGCTCATTATCCGGAGATAAACTATTCCCCTGTTCGGATCTCTGGGGGGACTTTTTTAGAGAATTCATGGAGCAAGTTGAAAAATAGTGATTTAGCTATAGGTAGGTGGAACATAAGGAGTTTGAATTCAGCAAGTGGGTTAAAATCAGTCGCAAATGAGGTTAATGTAGGTAAAATTTAGATACCATGGTTCTGCAAGAGGTTCTTTGGCCAGAGGAGGGCTCGATAAGGGAAGGAAAGTACACTATTTGGTACGGAGGTAGTAGGAATCATTGTTTAGGTAACAGGTTTCTAGGAATAGATTGCTATCCGCTTTGAGGGACGTGCAATTCTTGAGTGATAGAATTTCGGTAGTCATAGAATAGAATAGAATAGAAAAACCATCTTTATTCTGGGACTAGGTCCCTTTAGAATAACAGTATTGTTCATATAAATTAACCATAAATCTGGCCAAAAGACTTCTTACAATGAATAATAACAAAATACTAGTAATAAATTAAGTATTAATTAAGCTCTTAGTATAAATTAACGAGAACAGTTGGGTAATAGGGGTTCAGTACTACAATATTGGAGCTAAAACAGCAGCATAATAATCAATGAATGAAATTAGAATTGAACGCAAAAACAATTTTATAGGCAAAGCATTGTAGTGATGGAATATAAAAATTAAAAAAAAAAAATAATAGTAACTGTTAATATGTAAGGAAAGAAATTGTAAAATCAAAAAAAAAAAAATGATATACCTATGTTCCCTAAGATATTTAAGTGATTATGCGTAAAGAATAGGAGAAGACAAAATAAAATAAAGTGTACATATGTATACACATAGCGAGGAGTGTGTTGAAGATAATTAGAAAATAAAATACATTTCAACGAAATACAATTTCATGAATAAAACAATTTGGAATTAAGAAAAACAAATTTTATCTACTAACAATGCTTAGTGAGGGGTGATGAAAATTCACGTTTAACACAGAATAAAACAATAAACATAAGAGAAAAAAAAACTAATGTCTAAAGAAAATTAAAGCCTTATTACATAGTATGGATTTAACCAGCGTCTGATTGGATTGTGAAGAGGAATTGGAATAAGAGGGTTTTAAAGGTGGATAAGGATGATGCATGGCGGATTTTTAGTGGGATGGAATTCCAGAATGCAGTGGAACGGGCAACGAAGGAATGTCTAACTGATGCAGATCTGTGGAAAGGGGTGTAAAGGTCAGAAGGACGTATAATATTTCAGGACACGAGTGGAGAAACATTGCCAGAACTCTTCCTATACCATATTTATAAAAGGTCTCAAAGAGTCACCACTGCCATTTTAATCATCAATGAGGACTAGAGATGGTCAGAGCTGGATAGGGATCGAGCTAGAGGATTTGGATGATGAATAAGGTTCTGGTGAAAATTTTAAAATATAGAATTAATGCTAGAGTGAAAAGCTTGTAGTAGACAGCCCCCTGTATTTACTCCTTTATGTGACATTGGGTGAGGGAATGAGAAGGAATATATAGTATATAGGAATGTGAGGTTGCACGATGAATTGTTCTCAATTGTGCAGTGGATAAATTGTTCATTGAAAAATTTCATATCGATAAACAATCGATGAAGAAGGAAAAAGGTCCGGTCAGGTAGCAGCAGCTGGAAGAGGACACCAGGCACTTGAGGCCTGGACACGAAGACGAGAAGACGTCATCTGGGAAGAGAGGCCTACTACATTGAAGACTAAGAATATCAAGGCTACAGTTATTAGACTTTTATATATTCATTTATTATCAGTTGTTAAAAATAAATTGTTTTGTTAGACAGGAGTGAATAGTCCTTTTATTTAGTTGTCCTGTAGGCCTCACAATTAAAGAATAATAAACAAGGTGAGTCAATTCATTCAAAGTGTATTTACTAAGTCCCACATTATATATATGTTCTTATTGTTTCTTCTCATTCAATGTCACAAAAGGTATTAGATTCCCAACAACAGTTAAACACCCTCAAAAGTCTATATCCAGTGCTGGGGTTTTGGTTTAATAATCACGAGTGTAAATAATCTAATTTCCCGATATAAAAGAGGAAGGCTATTCCCGATTCCCACCAAAAACGGGTCATTAACTATTAACTCTTAATATGTTATTAACAAGCTCCTCTGGCACCGGGACTTGAACTAGTAACTATTTTATATTTAGTAAACTTCATAATTGTGGGTTGATGGTTGACTGTAGTGAATAATGAAGAGGATAGTTGAAGTGATAAGTCAAAGTAAAAAATGGGAAAAAATAATATTTATTTTTGCCATTTTTACTTTGACTGATTACCCCAACTATCCTTCTCTTCACTAATAAACTTCAATTTATCAATCATCAGGTTGCTGATCAATGCTGATCTCATGGTCAAATTATATGTTGAAATCAGAAGAGGGGGCAGGCTGGCCAAGTAGGATAATGTGTATGCAAAACAACCGTTACTCGGCAACCAGATTGTAGTAGACATCTTCCTGTATTTACTCCTTTAGTTGACATTGTGTGAGGGAATGAGAAGGAATATATAATATATAGGAATGTGAGGTTGCACTGTGAATTGTACTCGTTTGTGCAGTGGACAAATTGCTCTTTGGAAAATCTCATATCGATAAACAATCGATGAAGAAGGAAAGGTCCGATCAGGTAGCTGGCAACAGATGGTGAAGAGGACGCCAAACACTTGAGGCCTGGACACCAACACAAGAAGATATCATCTGGGAAGAGAGGCTTATTACATTGAAGACCAAGATTATCAAGCCGACCGTTCACTTATATATATTCATTTATTTTCAGTTGTTAAAATAAATTTGTTTTGTTAGACACGAGTGAATAGTCCTTTTATTTAGTTGTCCTGTAGGCCTCACAATTGAAGAATAATAAACCAGGTGTGTCAATTCATTCAAAGTGTTTACTAAGTCCCACATTTCAAATATATATTCTTATTGTTTCTTCTCACACAGTGTCACAAAAGTATTAGACTCCCAACAACAGTTAAACACCCTCAAGAAGTATATATCCAGTGGCGGGGTTTTATCATAATATTCACGAGTGTAAATAATCTAGTTCCTCGATATAAAAGCGGAAGGCTATTCGCTATTCCCGCCAAAACATCTTTATTTTTCATTTAACTTTCAGTAGGTTATTTACAAGATAGTTGGTAAACTGAAGTTTATTAGATATAAAATAGTTACGAGTTCGCGTCCCGGTGAGGAGGAAGCTTTTAATTCTAGCATTAATCCCCGCCCTCTCCTCTTTTATCTCGAAAGTAGCCAAGGTATTATACTGCTTATGAATTGAAAAGCGGTATTGAGTTGTTTTTAACCTTTTTAGGAATGGCAAACATGATCTGCATCGGAGGATGAAAATGGCATGTTTGCATTTTCATTCATTGATTTTGATGCGAAATCTAAGAACTAAGGGTTAAGTAATTTGGATTGAGTCATGTGCTTGAAAAGCAAATCATCGTGCCACAGAAAGAAGTGCTACGTTAAAAAAGGAACCAACAGAAACAGTATTTCTTGCCTTCAAAAGCAAAGGATATCAACAAAACTTAAAGGTATAACAAGGATGGTCAACAACATGTATTACCTTGTTGAACTGTGGAATGTCTTGAACAAAATCCAATCTGGTATGAATTACACGATTATTTTCTTGTATATAAATGGCATTTAAATATACGTAGATTTCAAATTAAAATCTAAAATAATTTTCTGGTAGTACTTACTGATTGTATGAGGGGTGGACTATTGGTCATTATCTCAAGGCATTCGTTAGGAGAGTTTCCTCTCCAGTCAAACCAACTTATGTCCATAGAAGCTATTTTTTCAAAAGCTTTTTTCTGTAAATTTTCCAACCATAGTTGAGTTACAATAGTTGACATCACACCCTTGAAAGTAATTTTTCCATATTAAAATGCATTTATATATTTTTTTAATGATTAAAATATTGATTTCATACATACATGTATATTAATAACTAGGTACAAAGATGTTTATCATGATAATATATTAAATTAGACTATTAGGAATACATATTCTTGTGTCATTTTAATTCATACTAGTAGGCCCGTGTGAAAAATTCGCACAGCATATATTGTTATCAAATGCCAAATTAATAAGAAAATAAAATAAAGCAAAAGTATCAAAAGATAAAGAAATCAATTGTTCCTTTATCGATAAATATAATCGACAAACAAAAAAAATTTATTCAAGTCTTCATCTTTGTTTGGAACCAATGAATTTCAGTATGCTGTATGCAGCAGTATGCTAAAAATTGTCCGATTTCGATGATTTTTTTTTTTCATTTTATAGGGAATTTAGTAATCTTTTATAAAATCATGGGCATAACCAAGGGAAAAGTGTGTAATTTTTCAGTTATTCGCAAATAAAGTTTGTTTTATTTCATAACTTGTTTGCCTGAATTTTCGAGGTGATTGGACTATTTTGCCCACCTGAAGGAGAAGGAAGCCTTCGAAATTGCTGGCTCAATCTTGAGATTCGATGAAAAATTAACGATAATATAGCTTGCCGATCAAAAACACCATCGATAAATAATATAAACTCCCCCTCTCTCGATCATAGAGACCTCAAGTAGACGAAATGAGACATGTATTCAATGACAGTACTACAATTAACGTAAGGTTGAGTAAATGCGAATCCTATGCCTTGCGTTATCTCGAAAATAGTACGTTTTTGGGCTTAAAAACGCAGGATCCTATAGTTCCGAAGGAACTATCCGGGTCTTGCAGTACGCATCAAAATCTTCAAGATCCAATTTGTCCAGTATCGATCTACAGACCTACCACCGTTCCAATATTGAAGCCTAGCAAAATGTTTATCGACTTTATTTATTTTAGAAAGAAAAACAAAAGTGGAGAATACGATTCGCTAACCCCCCGTGAAATACTGAATCCAACGGTACCCCATTCATGGTATTTGAGCATGACATGAGCTTATATTTGGTACAAAACCGATTTCGGGCCTTACTGTAATAATATATGTGGGGATTGTTCTTAATCTATATATTTACTTTTTGATGAAAAATTATTATATCAATTAAAGAAAAATTACTCTTCCACACTCAAACACACTATTCGAACAATAGAATGTAGCTGAGCCACCAGATTCACCTGAAGTGTTCTTGCACTGCAACCTACTCAATGTTTTCAAAAATCCAGAATTTCCTTTTGTGAAATTTATTTTTCTTAAGGTGACCTTAAGTACATTGTGGCCCAAGTTACAGTTTTTTTCTTACATGTTACCAAAAGGCAAGGAGGAACAACAAATAAAAAAATAATAATAATAAGTTCTTTGTGGATTGACTGACAGTCCAGTCAATTTGAGCAGAAAAAAATTGCTGAATTTTTCTTGACTATTCTATATGTTTTTTTGGGGTGCTGACTCTGAAAATCAAGTTACGAGAAAATTTAGGAAATTGTTTCAGTTTTTCGCTTATAACTATTCATGAGAAAAATCAACATTAAAAAGAAAACGGATAAATTTACTGAAAAATAAAACTGAAACCTGTGTGTTATCATTTTTCATTTGGCCGCTAGGGCGCACTAACGATTGACAACATAATCAAATAATTCAAATAGTCGGTTTCCCTTCAGTTTATGGTTCTTGGGATGATGAAACTAAATTCGATGCTCTCGAAAAAAATTTTACTTTGTGTTCCTCGGATTTAATGCAATATTTTTCAATATCACGATATTGAAAAAACCGCTGCAAATTATTCCACAATGATTTATTATTTTCAAACAATTATACATGTAAGGCAACATTCCAAGTGACAAAATAAAAAGTTATTTTAACTATTAGCATAAACATTTTTTTTTTTCCATTATTGGTAATTTGCTAAAAAAACAAATAGCATTACTTCAGTAACACATTCAAAAATCAAAAACTAAAACAAAGGATATAACCAATTTGCAGTATAAGGTAGCATATAAAAAACATCTAGAGACTACATCATTTCTCTTAATTGTCCGATTTTAACGATTTTTTAAGGAAATTTCTTAAATTTTTAAATAACTCTTTTTTTGTTCGATTACAATGGTTCATTATTGAACCTTTATTAATAAATGTCTTATCACAAAATTAACAAAAAAGTGAATACTTTTGAGTTATTCCGAATCTAATTTTACCATCCCTCGTAACATTTTTTCCAGCATCTTTTCGTTGAAGTATGTTACATAAATAAATTTGGAGGGCATCAAGAAGAAGACTTTAGCCAAGTTTCATTGAAATCAGTACCTTCGTTTAGGCGCCAGTCTATAGTAAGGCAGATTTCTCGGCCGCAATCTTGAAAGAAAAAAAAGGATAGTAATGTCGATGAAGGAGGATCATCCTCGGGTGACCTCTGATTTTAAATCCAAATTTGAAAAAAATCTGTCTAGTAGTTTCGGAGAAAATGCGCGGACGGCGGACGGACAAAACAATTTCTATTCGTTTTTGAATTCTATGTATTCTCAAAAACCTCAAATTTTGTGAGAGAGTTAAGGTTTTCAATTTTTCGTTCGATTATAATGGTTCATTATTGAAAATAAGAAATAAATATTACATTGATAAAGATCTGGTCGTTGCTTTATTTTTCAGAAAATTTTATCCGGTTTCTTTTTGATACAGCTGATTTTCATCTAGGATGCGTCGTTTCGGAGTTATAACTGAAGAACTGAAACAGCGTCCGAAATTTAATGTTTTTTTTTGCAATTTTTATTGTGAAGCCACATCCAAATCTAGTAAATAACTCGATTTTTAGACTCATCACCCCAAAAAACTTATTTAATCATCGAGAAAAATTCTTCAGCAAGTTTTTCCTGGATAGACTACTTTTCCTCACCAAATTACTGGACTCCGAGTAAGTCGGAGGGGAGGTTATTGCCAAATTAGCCCCAAAAAGATCGGCTTCGAAGTCATGAATAGTATGTGGAAGTATCTCTATGGTCCTCCCCGGGATAACTGTGTGATTACAAGTTATGTTTGTAAGAAAACCATTATATATATTTATATATTATATATATGTACCATTATATATGTAAAAAAACCATATTATGAGGTCAAACCTCCTCTGTAGCGTTGAATGAAAAAAAAAACATAATTTTGCAAAGTTTGGTTTTCTACATAAATTTTGTCCTGCTTTTTCCGGATGATATATTATTATTATGAGGATCGAAAGTAGACAATGAAAATCTCGTAACTTCATCAATCAATTTAAATCACACCTTTCCATGTCTATACACAAGTACGATTTGTACTACATAGTAAAAATTACAGAAACGAAAGCTGTTGCAATATCTACATTTGTTATTTGTCACTTATAAAACTAACTGAAAAATCATGAGGAAAATCACTCACTGAAAAACTATAGATTTAATAGGTGAATGCGATGTATACTTACAGACAAAATTACTGAGATAAATATAATGGCGCCCAGTCCGAAAAGATAACTGGCTTCTATCATAGCAATTCTATTCAATTCCTCTTTAGGGTACGTGTACGACTAAAAAGAAAATATTCTATAAAATCAATGTTGAAAAATTAAACAGCATGGTGAATAAAACAGCCAAAGACTATTACCTGGCATAACTGACTGAATAAGTAGTAAAAAGTTGGAAGGAATGCCCCTGTAATTGTAGTAAACAATACAGCCAGAAACCAAACAACTATAGTTTTGATGTTTTTCATACTTAACTGCAGCATTTTGTCATCTTGCGGCACCTAGGCAGAGAAAATAATAACTCTATTTATCATCAACAATTGCTATTTGACAAATAAACAAAGAATATACCTCCAAGCTCTCCTGAAGAAATGGCGTATTATCAACAAATTCCTCTTTGTGAACACATTCTTGTCTGTATGGAAAAATAATAATAATTACTAAAAATATGTAACATTTCGATATGTAAATAACCAAATAAAATTATTCACAATATTACTCAATTCTTCTTCGGTGCATACTATTTATTTTCAAGTTAATTTATTATTAGCCATATTTACACCAATTTAAAAAAAAATTTATGTCACTTAATGACTACTCATCAAAATGACGACGTTTCGGCTCGTCGAGCCATTTTCAAGTCTAAAAAATTTTTTTCATTTACAATCATATATTACTTTTACATATTTCAAATTATAAAGATACTTATTATGTACCTAAAATACTCATCATGTACCTGTCATTTTCACTTATGCGAATTGCAAGCGTCTACTCATAATAAAATTCCTTATTATTGTCATGTTCATCTTTAATTTTTTGAAAAATTATTAAGAAATTTATAAGTACATGATAGGTTTACATTACCATTTATTGTATTCACAATTGTAAATTTCCAATTCTTCCATACTTCATCCTTCGGCATGTTTTCTGGGTCGTTGTTAGGCCTCCCAGTTAATAATATTCACAATATTACTCAATTCTTCTTCGGTGCATACTATTTATTTTCAAGTTAATTTATTATTAGCCATATTTACACCAATTTAAAAAAAATTTATGTCACTTAATGACTACTCATCAAAATGACGACGTTTCGGCTGGTCGAGCCATTTTCAAGTTTAAAAAATTTTTTTCATTTACAATCATATATTACTTTTACATATTTCAAATTATAAAGATACTTATTATGTACCTAAAATACCCATCATGTACCTGTCATTTTCACTTATGTGACAATAATAATAGGTGAACATGACAATAATAAGGAATTTTATTATGAGTAGACGCTTGCAATTCGCATAAGTGAAAATGACAGGTACATGATGAGTATTTTAGGTACATAATAAGTATCTTTATAATTTGAAATATGTAAAAGTAATATATGATTGTAAATGAAAAAAAATTTTTAGACTTGAAAATGGCTCGACGAGCCGAAACGTCGTCATTTTGATGAGTAGTCATTAAGTGACATAAATTTTTTTTTAAATTGGTGTAAATATGGCTAATAATAAATTAACTTGAAAACAAATAAAATTAATTGTAATAACTTGTTTTGGCGGAAATATTAAATAGCCTTTCGCTTTTACATCTGGGGAACTAAGTTATTTACACTCGTGAATATTAAAACAAAACCCCGGCACTGGATATAGACTTTTTGAGGGTGTTTAACTGTCGTTGGGAATTCGGGGATCTACTACCTTTTGTGACATTGAGTGAGAAGAAACAATAAGAATATATATATTTGAAATGTGGAACTTAGTAAACACACTTCGAATAAATTGACTGACCTGGTTTATTCTTCAATTGTGAGGCATGTAGGACAACTATATAAAAGGACTATTCACTCCTGTCTAACAAAACAATTTATTTTAACAACTGTAATAAATGAATGTATAAAAGTCTTATAACTGTAGACGTGATATTCTTAGTATTCAATGTAGTAGGCCTCTCTTCCCAGATGACTTTTTCTCGTCTTCGTGTCCAGGCCTCAAGTCCTTGGCGTCCTCTTCCAGCTGGTGCTACCTGATCGAACCTTTTTCCTTCTTCATCGATTGTTTATCGATATGAGATTTTTCATTGAATAATTTGTCCACTGCACAATTGAGTACAATTCATAGTGCAACTTCAAATCCCTATATATTATATATTCCTTCTCATACCCTCACACAATGTCACATAAAGGAGTAAATACTGGGGAATGTCAACTACAGATAGATTTGAAAAAGTATAAAGAAAAAGGATAACATAATGTAAAATTATAATAATTTTTGTAATTAATAACTACATTATAAGTTTATATAATTTATTTTTTCCCATTTATATTTTTAAATTATAAACTTTTCATTTATAACGATGTTCATATTCTCCTGATTCAGATCTAACGGCACTCAATTTGAACAAAGTCGAAGATTTCACAGTTGTGTCAGAAAATGAGAGGCTGTCAGAATGGAAAAGTAAGCACTCACTACATGACAGATACTACAGCCAGTTTAATGAAGCCTCCTTAGACAGAGATCAGTGGAATAGTAAACGGCAGAAAGGCTATTCTCTGAAACAAATGGCTTTCTAGTCGCCATTCAAGATCAGGACATTGCTACCAGGTCATATAGCATGTTCTAAAAGACACTACAACATAAATGTCGACTTTGTTCAATGACGCTTGAATCAATCCAGCATATCACAGCTTGATGTGGAGTGTTCGCTGGTACTGAGTATCTGTGATATTATAAATACAATCCGATTAGGCTAATTCAGAAAGGCTCCTCCAAGATGTGTATGGACGATTAACGGATCATACAGTGCGTCACAATAGACCCGATATCATTATTATAGATTTAGGGACAAAGAAGGCATAGCTAATAGATATCGCGATTCCAAACTATAACAATATAAGCATAACCGTGGGAGAGAAGCTGCGTAAGTACCAAGAATTGGCTACCAATTCAATCATTATTTGTTTTAAGCGAAGAACCCTATGCAACAAGAATCCTATCCCAAAATAACAAATATTATTATCATTATGGAAATACAAATTCATACATTTTTATACTACATAACAGATATCATAACACTCTTGACATCAATTATATTTCGATAGAGCAGGATTAGAAAAGTAACATTTATTTCATAGCTTTTCGAAACATATTTTAGGATATCTAAATTCCTCCATTTCCATAAGCTTAACCAACCAATTCAATGAACACTTCATAATATTGAAACAAAAGTCTGGGGTTGTTTTACATAGTGAATATTTCTTTTTATAGACATTTGGGTTGACCTTTTCTAAGTGTATAGGAGATTCCATACTTGGGCACAATGTAGCAGATGTATCGATGATAGCTTTTTTCAACTTTTCTCTCACTTTCCAGGAGTTCGTTTTTGCTTTAGGACAAATGTTTATTACACTAGCTATTGTCGAGATTGACTTTGAGATTGCCGTCTTAATTTCTTCGAAAACATATCAGACCTACAAAAGTGAATACCTAAATAATTGTATGTACTGTCTGTAATAATACCTCACTTTTATCCAACTTTGAGCCAAAACGAGCCATTTCTGAAGTATTGGCATATCTACAAAAATACGTCGCGTGCGTAAGCGAAAGTGGTGGTTAGAATTTAATAAAATTGAAATGGGACCATCTAGACACCAACCTGCACAATTCATGAAAATAGGATGCCCGTGATATGTAGGTGATATGCCTACATCGATTTGACTACAGACAGACAGACACCGAACCAAATTTGATCATTGATGTCTGAAACATAAAACGCGAGTGGAAATTTTCGATTCTGAGCACAATAATTTTTTCAACCTCTCGCACGAATACAATGCTTTCCTACCTTCAGTAGTGAGGAAGCAAAAACAATAAATAAAGAAATCACAGGAAGTTATGTTTTTCAACCTCACTAGTGAAGCAAAAAACTTAGAATAAAAAAGAAATAAAAAGTATTTACTTTTTAACCAATTTTGATAATCAATTATGAAGAACAGTATGCCCATCTATTGATAAAATTTGACTAAAATCGTTTTTCAAGTTGTTATTATTTATTATATTTGTTTATTTTTCATTCAATATTAAGGGAAATAAGTAAATATTTTTTTCTTACTTTATTGTAACAATTTGGTCCTTTTCCTCAAGTTCTTGAATCTTGGCTAATGAGTAGTAATATCCTCCAAGTTCCATCAGCTCATTGTGGGTGCCTTTTTCCACGACACGTCCTTCCTAATTTCGAGTTCCTACATTAATATTTACTCATGAGATCAAAACATTAAAAGCCGAAAGAATCACTTACTTCCATTGCATATATAACATCTGCCATCCTCACAGTGGACATTCTGTGAGCTATGATCACTGTAGTCCTATCACGCATGGCATTTTCAAGAGCTTCTTGTACAATGCCTTCTGAATGAGAATCTAGCGAAGAAGTGGCTTCATCCAGGAGGAGCAGTTTTGGCTTCCGGACGATGGCCCTCGCTATGGCGATCCTCTGTTTCTGACCACCAGATAGTTTTATACCACTCTCTCCAACAATTGAAGCGTAGCCCTAATAATTAAAATATTTTATAAATTTATATGTACACATACATTGCTGTTACACTATGTACTCGTATATGAAAAGCTATAGAGTCTAAAATAATACTATGGATGAATGCTGCAGATTGGAGTTATTTTATATAATAAATTGCAATAAAATATGGTCCTAACATAGTAACATACCGAATAGGACCCAGAGAATGTGAGAAAAAATGTGGGAGAATCAGACGGATCGTTCACAACTACCAGCTGACTTCTTGCAATAAACTCACCGCATTTAACGGCTCTTCTGTCAGTTCGATCGGAATTCCAGACTGTGTTCCAAGAGTTGTTTTCTGAACACATTATCATGTTCCTATTCCTTGCTCCTTCCTTGTGATCACCTCCATAGCGTAAATGTTTAGTTCACTGTAGCTCCCGTAAGATGTGAGACCGAACCCAGTGATCCCTATATCATAGCTTTGCGAGAGTTGGTGAAGCTCTTCAGCTACTAGATGCCGGTAACGAATGTTGAGCTGGAGAATGGAGAGTCAAATCATAGGAAGTCATTTTCGTCAGCTCTTCATTCCCGCCTAGTACGACTTCTGCTCACCGAGGGACAGAAATTAACTTCGCATTTCGGTGGATGGATAAAGAACTTTACCTGTTCCAGAACTTTACTGTTTATCAGAACATCTTGAAAAACGTTTCCTTCATGAAAGACCTGCCTGAAAATTGATTGCCTAGAGATGGGGAATTCCGAAAACTTACTGACCTGAGGATATTCTACAAGGAACGGGCCATCGATAAGCAGCTCTCTAAATCTTACAGATCTCCATCTAAATACTAATCCCTCTCTCAGGGATTAGTTCTTGGTCTAATTCAATGGAAACTAGTTTTTAATGTGTGGAAAAGTTGTTGCCCTCAATGCAGAGCAACAACGGTGCGCCAGCCCAGTGGTAAGATGGCAAGGTGGACGCTGCTAAAGCGCAGGCCATATTCCTTAGCGCGAAAATGAAAGGGCCTATCTTATCACCTTCTGGTCCAAGGGGAGAAAATTCGTCCAAGTGAGGTGATAACTTGCCTTGAAGTAAGATTTGGAAGACATTTCAACGAGATACCTCACTTGGACTACTTGTCCAGCAGTGTCATCTTCTCACTGAATCAGTCAAATCGAGGGCGCTCTCTAGGGCCCCTAACCACCCACGAAATAAGTTGGCGACGATACAGAGAACAACTCTGCTGTGTGTAACTAACGCATACAGGCAGTGCAGTACCCGGCAGGAGGGATGCTTCTCGACCTTATCCTGCTCGAAGAAGGTATAATGTACCGCTATAAGAGAGAAGACTCGAGAGGTAGTTCCTCAGAAGAAAGATTGCTAATGAACCCAATGTATGGAAACAGATTATCCTGGAGTACACCATTGAGGAATAGAATCACAACATCGAAAGAATTAGTAATCTCTGAGGATCTTACTGGGATTCTCTCTTGTTATTTGAGGTTCACTTGAAAGACCGGCATTAAATACCAATCGCCATTTAGGCTATAAAGAGTTTTTCTGCGTCAGAGGATGACAGTGGGGATTAATATCAAAATTAAACCCCATCGTACTTTTTTGGGTGGGACGCGAACTCGTTTATTTATTATCTTCTATAACTTAAGTTATCAGATTTCCGGCCTCGCGCGGTGCTGCGCATGCTCAGTTACCCTACTCTTCTTCCTCTCCACTAATGACTTAACGGACAGACATGTTTGTCATATATGTGATACCTGTCAATTTAGTGGAATAATACCGAGAAGGTTTTATTATGTTAAGCATGTAGACCTTTCTTCTTCCTTTTACTGTCAACGTTAATACAAAAATGCTACAAAGAAACAACATGAAAACTATATCCAAATATCTTTAGATAAAACCAATGAACTTATTCATATCTAAAATTATTGTCATACGAACCAATGGTCAAAATGGAATCTGGAATATAAATATCTATTCAGAACAGCACATCATAAATTTAATTCAATTACAATACCCCTGGTAGCTGCACAAAAGTAAGAAATGAATAATTACTATTTTTATACCTTAATTTTAAAACCACACTTACTGAAGGTAATTTCTCTATAAAGTCGTGAGCGTAAGAAATCTTCGCTGCTTCGACAATCTCCTCCAGAGATGCATTAGTTTTTCCATATCTGATGTTCTCTTCAATGGAAGTATCGAAGAGCGTTGGTTCCTGTCCCACGACACCAATTTGATTTCTCAACCAACTGACATTCAACTTCTTTATATCCACTCCTCCAATAAGGATCTGTCCGAAAAGTAATTATTTTAATTTTATTATTATATTTAATTTAATTAATATTTAAATACTTTCTAAAAAATTTTTATACTTTCATGCTTATAGTTTTAAAGTTCCTATCCACGCATACCGATGATACATGTGTCCTATCAGTTCATGACCCAACAATTGCAACCCAAACTCCTCAACCACACATCACAAACCTTGAAGAATGGTGTCAAAACTGGAGGATTGAAATAAATTCCAATAAATTGCATCAAATCACCTTTACTCTTCGTCGTGAACCTATATCCTCCTGTCCTACAGTATCCTTTAATAACACCCCACTTATCTCTGTCGAACAAATCCGATACCTTGATAAACGTCTAACTTGGGATCCTCATACAAGACTGAAACGACAAGAAACCTCTAGACTTTTCCGTCTACTTCTGTACTTACTAGACAAACGCTCTAAGCTTCCAGTTAATTACAAAAGGCTCTTATACATGACTACAATAAGACCTATTTGGACTTACGGAGTAGAGTTCTAGAGCTCCACTAAGTCATCGAATTCCTCCTTAAAATCCTTTGTAAGATCATCACTGCTCCTTACTTTGTCACAAATAAAATCATCCATAACGATCTAATTGTTCCTTATGTTTCTGACCTAGCCCAATTCAGATATCTATCCTTTCATAAAAAACTTTAAAACCATCTCTTCGACCCCTGATAACGCTCCGAGGCTTCTTAAAAGAAGATGACCTCGAGATCTCCTTTTGTAAATACATTTTAAGAGTCTTTATTTCTGTTTAGTTTAGTTTATATACATTTAATTTTAGTATTATTGTTTTTTTATGTATTATTTATTTTTATTTATTGTTGATAGAGCGTGAATGTGCTCTCTGAACACCATTATAAATGTGTATTTTTATTTGCAATACAGTTGTAAATATAAATTTAAAAAATCATATACCTGCCCATCAGCAACATCGTAAAGGCGTGAAATCAGGCTTACAATCGTACTTTTTCCTGCACCACTAGTTCCTACAACTGCTGTGACTTTTCCAGATTCAATGTCCAATGTCAAATCATGGAACACCTATGTTTTTAATTCAAAGTATGTTGATTTTCTTGTCTTTTTAAAGAAATAAATAACATAATTCTAGTAGGTACAATTAAAGAAAATATGTATACCTTTCTATTTAAGCTTGACGGATAGAAGAATTGAACATTTCTGAATGATACCTCAGCATTAAATGTGTCAGGTTCGATTCCTTGTTCGATAGATTTATTGTAGTTCGATTCAGAATCGAGGAACCTCATTACCCTGTACGCTGAATCTATCGCCACATTGAGGTTAGATATTGTACCCAGCAAGTAAGTGCAGTTGTGTATAGCATACATTTGTGCTATCAAAAGCTAAAAGAATAGAAATGTTATAAGTTCATGATATCTTCGTTGTAAGGCTAAGGCTTAGTTAAGATTAAGATGAAAATGATTAAGGCCCAGTTGCTCCAACTCAATAAAGCTTAGATAAGGCGTTGTCTAAGCTTAAACCAAGTTTTTTAAGGTCGACCGATCAAGATTAAACTTGGTTTAATCTTAGATATCGTTTAATCTAAGCTTTACTGAGTTGGAGCAACTGGTCCTAAGGGCCATTTGTACAATCGGAGTTTAAGTGAAGTTCAAGCTTGAACTACAGTATATTCATGATATTAATGGTTGATTGTTGTCCAACCTCGAACTTGACTTGAACATCAATTGTACAACTGACCTTTAATGTGTTATACTTATTCAATAATCCCTGCGTACTCCACATTTGGATTAAGTAGCAGTTCATGTAATAATACTGTATCATGTAATAATAATACTTCATGCATTTCTCGGTCGGGGTAAAAGTTTTGGGAGTTAAATTGGGGGGTTAAATTTTTTTTCTTCCGATTTCAGCCTAATCCATTTAGTTGATCCTAAAAATGTATACGACAACATTTAGGCTTGAAAAGTTGAATGGAATGACACCTTGAACGGGAAGATCGGACAAAGTTGAAAAATGAGTGTGTTTTACCCATGTTTTAAACGACAACGCGTTACAGATGTTCGGGATTTCGGATTTTTCCCGTTGAGTTGTGATAATTTTTTTCAATCAGTTGAGTAGTACAACTTTTAAACGTGGCTCGCGGTACAGGAGGTTGGGATGAGAATCGAAGTAAGTAACTGCCTAATCGAGATCTCTAGACAAATTACTCCAAGAATTCATAACATTGGTTCTACTCAACATTTTGTTTTCATTTAAAGCCTATGTTTCAAATAAAGCAAACCTAAATATAATGTCAAAATTTCAAAAGTCTACCATTAGCCATTGCTGAGCTTACCCCTGACAAAATTTCATTAAACATACAGACAGACAAAAAAATTGTTAAAAGTAGATTTGGTGTCACACCAATATTTTTAATTTTTTTTTTTAATATTTAATACTTTTAACACACCAAAAATTTGTATACGATAAATGTATCCTTTTCCTAAAAGAGGAGTTCCGTGAGACCTTCAGAGAGAGAGAGTTCACCGTGAGAGGTTTGGGTCTCGCGGAACGATCCCAAAAAGAACAAAGAGCCTCCTCGAGGAACTAGGTGTTGGTGTTGGGGAGCTTGCGATATTGGCCAAGAATATAATTCTAGACTTCCTAGGGATCATCCACTATCACTTGTATAGCAATTAACTGTTAATTTGGGATGTCCTTGTCATTTATCTATTTATTTATATAATTTTATTTTTTTACTTTAGTCTTATCTTTCTGTCTATATTCAAGAAATTTCAAAAGTTTACCATTAGCCATTGCTGAGCTCACCCCTGACAAAATTTCATTGGACATACAGGCAGACAAAAAATGTGTTAAAAGTAGATTTGGTGTCTGTAATGTATGAAACGGGAAGATTCATGAAACGGATTGATTCTTTTCAATGTACAGACAAAATCTTTGTTTTATTTATATAGATTATTAAGTATACCAAAATTAATGGACTGTATCTTTGTAAATAATTGTCCGATTTTCACCGGTTTTTTTGTTGTTTTGTAAGTAATTTATCAATCTTTCTAATAATCATGTGTACTATCCAGAAACAAATTTATACTTTTTGAGTTATTCCCAATAAAGTTTCTTTTCCTTAATAACGTTTTTCCCAGACATTTCGGGGAGATAGGACTATTTTTCGCATATGAAAGAGGAGAATATCTTCAAAATGAGTGGTCAATCATTGGATTTGATGAAGAATTGACGAAGTTATGGCGTACTACAAAAAAATAAAAATTAGAAATAATATATAAGATATATGGAAAAGTTATCATTTTACTTACAACTCCTATATAGCCAGGATTGAAATCGTCTAGGAGAAATAACCTTACAGAAAAGTAATAGGCGGCAATATAGCAAATGCATAAAGCGAAACAGTTGAATGCTTTTCCAGCAGAGATCACTGTAGCATGCTTTAAGCGATGTTTATTGGCCATTTTTAATGAACTCTTGTACCTAAATATGGGTGAGTGAACACATCGAATAAATGTAATATATATAACCAAAAATATATTGAATTGTGATTTTTTGTTGAGTTTGTATTTGAATAAATGATACCTTTCGATTTCTTTATATTCTCCACTGTATGCAGCAAATGAACGAACGTTTCCAAGTACTTCAGAAGCAATTTTTGTGCATTTTCTATTGTACTCTTGCTGTGGTTTTTCCTTCTTTTTTGATTCCTAGAAAAAAAATAATAGCAATTTTTGCTATTATAATCGAAATAGAATAATTTATTTATTAATAGGCCTGGCAATGACCAGATTCCCCACTCAAGTCCTGAGCGTCTGTTGGTCTTGTGCCCTCCATTAATCTCCATTGGCTTCAAATACCAGCCATGGGGCTGGGAAAGAAGCACTGGGATCTCCTGCAGTCCTACGTTAGCTTGATTGTCCACAAGTGAGGGACAAAGCATGACTTAGTCACCTAGGCTAATGTAAATATCATATATATATAGGTATGAATACATTTTATCTATTTTAATTTCATTTAGTTTCCATCAATTATTTAACTGTTTTTTTAATTTGTTTTTCTACATATGCCCATAAATTTTATTATTTTATTTTTTACAATTCTTTTTCTTTTTACTTTTAAGTCCTTCGAACAATAGTCAATGCTCCTTTCTATGGAACCAACAAAACCCTACACCATGACCTTAATATCCCATTCGTCCTAGACCTTATCCCAGCAAAATTCTCCAAATTCCACCAGAACCTTACAAATCATCCAAATCCCTTTGCAAAATCTCTATCCAGCACCACCCATCCATATAATCCTCCAAGGTGGTTAAAACGGCAGTGGCCCCACGATCTTTTATAGTTTGTAAATATTGGAGTTCTGGCAATGGCCAGATTCTCCACTCACGACATGAGTGTATGTGGCTAAAGCACTCTTGCTCAATCTCCAATCTCCACTGGGTTTAGCCCTAGTGACGCGGTTGAGAGAGGAGTGCAGGGAACTCCTGGAGTCATACTTTTCCCTCCACAGTTGGAGGGACAAGTCTGGTTTGGACAAGTCTGGTCTCTCGCCAAGTTGTAAATATTGTATATAGGTGTGCATGTGTTCTTTTTATTTATTTATTTTTAGGTTATTTTATTCTTATTTATTGTATATATATTATTTTTCTGTATAATTTATTTTATTTACTGTACATAGAGTGTGAATGTGATCTGTGAACACTATTATTAATGTCCCTGAGACAGATTGTAATATATTTCAATAAATAAGCTTATAAAAAAAAAAAAAATTCTTTTTCATTATTATATCTATTTTAGTTATAATTTTTATCTACATATTGTGTGAATAATTAATGTAGCCCTAATATTAATGCCCTCCAATGTGGCATAATGTATTATTTTTTACTAATAAAAAATAATAATAATAATAATAATAAAAGGATTAACAAACCCGAAGGTTCGATGCCGCTTATTACACACCAATCGCTTATTACACACCTCCCTCCATCGTTCGCCGTCCAAATCTAGTCCCTTCAGATCGGCTTTAATGCAATCTTCCCACCTTCGCTTCGGTCTAACCTTCGGACGTTTACCATTAACCTTTTAGGAATTGTCACGTTACTAAGCCCAAAAATTTTACAGGCCCATTTGATTCGTCGGGATGAAATCATCTCAATTATATTACCCGGATATAGTTCACGCAATTCGGCGTTGTGTAACCGTCTGAATTCTCCGGTTAATTCATCCTTCTTTGGTCCGAATATCCTACCCAATACTTTATTTTCAACAACCTTAGTTGAGTTTTAACTAAAAAAAAATTAAATAAATAAGAAGCGTTAACAAAGATTATAATAATAAAAATAAATAAATCGTTTAAATGTGGTTGAAGTTATTTATAACTTTTTTTGACCGGGCGTGACACTCTAGATTGGTTTTAAATCTTGAAATCTATCTTTCTAATCTTTCAACTTGAGTTCAGTACAGAACTATTATCCCGTAAAAGCAGCACTGTGCTGTCTTTTTCTCAACACGTGTTGTTCGTGTTCATCCAAATAAGTTGTTTGCAACATTCGCTCATTGCACTGTCATCCTGTCTTTAAACTTATATGTTGAAAAACATTTCTTAACTTACAAAGAGACCTCGGTACTAGTTCCGAATCACTACTCTTTCAGCCATGTTGGTTGATGCAAGGTTATCCACAATGTTTCAGATAAGGTTTACAAAAGATAGTACGAGGTAGCGCCACTATTGAGGAGGGGTAGTCTTGTCAGCCCTTGAACCCTCCACTTCACGCTCATTACAAATAATTACTAAATACAACCTTTAGAATCTATATTACGAGCCTTTTTTTTTTTTTTCTTTTTTGTCTACAGTATATCTAGGAAACAAACTTTCTATTTTCGATTTTATTGAGACCTTTCCTTTATTGTAAAAATTTTCACATCAAAGTAAACTAATCCAAACTTATGAATAGCTTTGTAAGATTTGTAATTCGGACCCCGAGACGCTCCCGTGTCTCCCACCACTACACTGAGTTAGGGTGGCTCTTCCCCTCCTAAAGAAGACAATATTTCCTAGGCACATTTCTTTATCAAATCATTACCGATCATCGTTCTTCTTATGCTTACAACCTTCTCCAATTTAAGTCCTCAATCCATTCCCTCACTACAAGATCTCGACCCTCTGACCTATACATCCCTTCTCATAGATCTGCCTCATTCCAAAACTCCTTCATAGCCCGCTCTGTCAACTTTTGGAATTCCCTCCCGATCAAAATTCGACATGCTCCTTCCCTATACACATTCAAAAACCTCCTATTCCAATTCCTGTTCCAAAAACAGTTAGATACTAGCTAACTATCAATATTATATATGTATTGTGTAGCAATCATATAATCATAATACTTGGTAAGAGATAGTACATGCATTTCCTACTATCGACGTAGGAATTACAATACATACATTTTTTTTTTATTCAATTATAATTAACTGTTTATTTATATATATATATATATATATATATATATATATATATATATATATATATATATATATATATATATATATATATATATATATATATTCAAGTAAAGTTTTTTTTATGAAATGAACTCATTCTATCTCTTTTTCGTTCTTCATTTCTCAAAGAGTATGTTTATGTTTTTCAGCCCCTATATATAGTTTTGTTAATAGTTCAAGTGATTCGTTCATAGTATTAATGGTTTTGTTCATAGTTTTAAATGCTCTGTACATAGTTTTATCTGTATTGTATATAGTTTGTGCACCTAAGGTTTTCTTTACTTTTTATTTTATTTTATCAATTTTATTTTTTGTTTCAAACTTTTAGGTCAGTAATATTATGTTCTTTTGTACAATATTGTTATTCTAAAGGGACTTAGTCCCAGAATAAAGTTTTTTTTTTATCTATCTATCTCTCTATCTATCCAAATATATGCATACGTCTTTCACTCTTCTTCCTGCCATGTTGTTTTAAATACTTTCACTTTTCCCCTCTTAGACTCAACTCGGTATATATGTCCAAAAGATCACATCTTAATAAATATCAACACTTAATCTATAAACATTGATGATACTTACTTTCAGTATTAAGTACGTTATCAAGATAGTAATCGTCATAGTTCCAAGGGTCAAAAGAGCAACCTTCCAAGAAAGGAGAAGGCCGGCTATGAAACCGAAAAATATTACTGCAACCGTTTCAACTACATTCATCATTTTACTGTCAAATAAGATCGACATCTTCTGCAAGTCACTGTAATGAATGAATAGAAGGTTAAAATATTTCGGCGAAGCCTCATTCATAAATATCTGGTCATGCTAACAAAATTATTACTTAGTCATTACAATTTCAAACAGTAAAATTTGAAAATCCAGCAAATCACGTGAATAGTAACAAAGGATTTATATGATCTTACAAAAATTTTAAACTAATTATTAAATTTTCATTTAAATATTAATGAAATGTTTACAAAATGAGTCGATAAATTAACCAACCTAAATTTTATCGTTTAATTAGTATTTCATTTAAAATATTAATATTTATGTTTTTTTTATGGAAGTTAGTCAACTGTTCTACATATCATGGGTGATAAATATTCAGGACGCAGTCTTTTTAAAATTTTATTTTTGCCAACGTTTCAACCCAAACATGTGGATCATCTTGAGGGCTGAAAATGTTTTTTTTTTAATTACAATCAGAGATATAATACTATACGACCGCTAATTATAAATAATAAACTATAGTGATTGATGGCACATGAATCTTAACTAATATTGTAATACATAAGGTAAGTAAAAAGGTCAGGTGGGGGGGGAGGATTTCCCACTTGTCCTTTTTTTTAGATAGCAAAAGGTATGTAAACAAAGTTTGAGTGGAAGGGAGGGTAACATATGTTGTTTGTAGAATATACATAATTTGCTGACAAATATTTCAGACGTGTACAATATTTGAGTTATTTCATATGGTTACAGAAATGTGACTATTGACTAGTATTAAAATGAACATAAGCAAAAGGTGCCAATTAATGTAAATAAAGCTTAGTTTGATGGCAAGTATACAAGGGTTAGGTGAATAATTTTTATAATAAAGACAATTTCAATGTATGCAGATGATACTTAGGACAACATATTATACAATATTTATCAAAATATAAGTTTGTGTTGTATTAAGGATTACATAGGCTATTGTTTCAGGAGGCGTAAAATATTTGAATATGTCTACTTTATGGTTACCGGATTATTTGTTTTCCAAATTAATAAATATAGATTCCGATAGTAGTCGTTTTTGGTGATTGGGAACTGTGGCGAGTATGGTTGAGTTTTCGAAATCAAATGTGTGGTTTCTCCACTTTGCTTCACTCCTACTCAAGTTGCAGAACAAATCAGGCAGTTACCTAAAAAGAAAGCTCCCGGTCATGACCTGATAAATGCTCAAGTGCTCCAGAAAATGCCAAGGAAAACTCTAGTATACCTAACATCAATTTATAACGCAATACTCAGAACGACTAAATTCCCCTTACAATGGAAATATTCATTCATAAAAATGATTCACAAACCTAACAAAAACACTGACTTTCCTTCATCATAGAGACCCATCAGCTTGCTCCCATTATGCTCTAAAATCTTTGAGAAACTTCTCTACAAACGACTTCTTGACATACTGACTACTGAAAACATAATACCTGAACATCAGTTTGGATTTCGTTCACACCACTCAACCATTCATCAGCTACACCGAGTGACAGACTACATTGCGACAGCTCTAGAGCACAAATTATATGCTACAGGAGTATTTCTGGATGTTACTCAAGCGTTCGATAGAGTCTGGCATCAGGGACTTCTTTTCAAACTTAAGACTATACTCCCTCCAACCTACTATCTTATTCTTCAATCTTTTCTTTCTGACAGATTTTTCTCTGTTTGCCAGAGAATCTACCATTAAACCAGCCCTAGCAGGAGTGCCTCAGGGGTCAGTAGTCACTCCTCTGTTGTATATTATTTACACATATGATATTCCAGATCCTCTCGATACTCTGACCGCGACTTACGCAGACGATACAACAATCTTGACAAGACATCAAAATTCAACATACGCCTCACAGACTTTACAATATCACCTAAACAATTTCTACGACTGGTGCAAACTCTGGAAAATTCGACTCAACCAAGACAAATCACTACATATCACTTTTACCCTTCGACGTGAAACTTGCCCCCCTATTTACCTTGACAATATCCAAATTCCTCAGACAGACAAAGTTCAATATCTTGGACTGACCTTTGACAGAAGAATGACATGGGGACAACATATCAAAAACAAAACAAAAACTCTAAACCTAAGACTACGCCTATTGTACTCACTCCTTGCAAGAAATTCGAAATTAAAACTTAGACAGAAATTGAATACATATACTTACCTACTCAAGCCTATTTGGACCTACGCTTTATATGGGACAGCCAAAAAGACTCACATACGTAAATTACAGACTTTTCAATCTAAAACTTTCAGGACTATTACCAAAGCTCCCTGGTACGTCAGTAACATTACTCTACATAAAGACTTACAGATGCCAACAGTTAACGACCACATACGAACATACTACAAACGATTTCATAATAACTTACACGGACATACAAACTCATTGATTCGAGGCATGGCCACAACTAACATGCCCTATAGCACCCGAAGGAGGCTTAAAAGAAGCTGGATGAGGGATCTCCTCCACTAACTAGAAATATTACGCTCAAGACAGGAAGGACGCCGCTGGGTACTCCTCTCCCTCACGCCTATTCCAAGACCAATCTCTTCATCTTGACATCACACTCGCTGATTGTCGGAACTTCTGACAGGTGTGAGATGAAGAATCAAGTCAAAAAAAAAAAAAAAATGTGTGGTTTAGGGTTATGGCGTGTTCCGCTAGTTTTGAGGCAAACGGGTTTCGTGTGGAGATGCTATATTTGTGTTGATAGATTCGTTTTTTTAAATAGTTTTTGGTTTCTCCTATATAAGAAGAATTACAGTTTGGGCTAGAGCATGTGATATGGTATACAATATTTGATTGTTGTAGGAGCGGAACAGGATCTTTGAGTTTGGTGTATAGATTTCTTAGTTTACTGTTATTTTTAAAAACTATTTGTAGATGGGGAAATTTGGAAGTTATCGCTTTTTTGATTTTTTGAGATAGTAAAGGGATGTTTGGAATGGATCCACATTGGCAAATCGTGGTGGGGGACTGAGAGCAATTTGTGGGAGAATGGTGAAGATGGGGTTTTGATTGATTCTTGATCAAGTTTTTTATAATTTGATCAGGAAAAGCGTTGGATTTCAGGACCTTGTGTAGTTAGGTTAGGTTGTTATCGTGGAATTGTGGGTCGGTTAATGTTAAACTGCGGTGTATCAGGTTTTTAGCTACACTGATGTTTTGGTGGTAAGGGTGTTGGGAAAAATAGTCTAGGAGACGGCCTGAGTAGGTAGGTTTGGTGTACAAGGTGGTATTATTATTGGTGGATAAGGTTTTATCATTATTTCTGGAAATGAGGAACTCAAGAAATGGGAGGGAATTATTTTATTCTATTCTATTTATGTTTTTCATTGTTTTTAAAAAGTAAAATATAAATAATTACGCAATTAATTCCCAGGAGTCTGAAACAAACAGGTCAGCAAATAATAAGCTTGAGAATTTACAGTTTTTAAGGTGTTTTTTTTTTAGATGGCAGGAACTACTAAGACTCAATGTCCGGAGTTTTTCGTGGATCAACCCTAGATCCATGGACATCGGAATACCCTTCTGAGGCGGACCCAGCTTTTATAAAGGATGTACTCTTAGTTAACATCTTAGACTAAGAAACAGTTTTCTCTTACATAGAACTGAAATGAAAACCCTTCATGGGATGTATTGGTACAGGTTTCAGTTCAGATAAACGTAGCACATCTCACTTCAACAGTATAAAAAAATACTATCCCAAATAGACTGGTCAACTTACAAATATAAAGTTACCAATAGTCTTTTTTGGAGGGAGAAGGGGGTGATAGATAACTAGTGTTTTAGAGTTTTTATCAATATCAAAACCCTTACATCAAAATCAAAGAATTGATACGATTAGTTTCAAAACTGAAGTTGAAACATTTTATATTGTTCTAAAGACAGCATTATATAGCAAATTGCCAATTGATAACTTTTTCAGGTTCTAACGAATTCCCACCTTTGGGTTAATTATTTAATTCATGCATTTAACACATGATGAGGGATGAGGATAACCGTGTGATGCGGTTTGCAATTGTTTCAGATTATTAAGTATTTAGTGTCGTGTTTCATTGAAGTTGACAACTATAAAAACTGATTTTGTTTTGTAGGTCGGTATAGTTTTAATATTTAATGTATTATTAATTTGAAATTGTAATTAATAAAGATCTTGCTTTGTAGAAGCAAAAGCAGTCTATAGTTTATCTACAGTTAACACTAAACAAGATTATGTAGATAAACTATAGACTGCTTTTGCTTCTACAAAACAAGATCTTTATTAATTACAATTTCAAATTAAATAATACATTAAATCTTAAAACTATACCTTAAAATAAAAACTATACTTAAAACTAAACAAAATCAGTTTTTATAGTTGTTAACTACTATGAAATACGACACTAAACACTTAATAATCTGAAACAATTGCAAACAGTGTTACCGCGCGCTCTGTGACAAAACCTCGTACTCAAGCCCCGTACATCCTCGTACGCTTGTTCATTCATAACTTGTACTATTATAAGCCCAGTGTTATTGTCTTTTTTTATAGTCAAATTAGATCAGAATTTTTTATTTTTATCTCCATTCATATATTTTAAAGCCTTTTTACATTACTTTTTTTTAAGTTAATGGGTCAAGAAGTAAAATTAGTTTAATAAAATATATAAAAAAGTTTATATATTTTTATAAACTACTGAAAACGTTATATAAACATTAAAATAGCTAAATAAACTTCTTAAAGTACTCTTCATAAGTATTCATTAGTAGATCCAAGATTTAATTTGGGGGAAGGACTATTTTTTTTTATTTTTTCTAAAAACAAAACAACTACTTTTATGAAAGGATGTTAGTGGTTCTGGAAGGCCACTAAAAATTAATTATTGGGGCATTGATGCTTTTAGAGATATCCATTATAATATAAAAAAATAATGGATTGTGATTGTTTCAGTATTTAGCTTACAATTATATGTCACAAAATAAATGACGACCACTGAAAAAATACTTTTTTCTTTTTCATTATTTAAGATGGGTTCATTATTAATACTGGTTAATTTTTCAATTAATTACTTTACTCGATTAAAAATCGAAAATATTTTTTTTAAATTACGGTAATAGTTTTTTAAAAAATTCAATTTATCTAGAATATATTTACAATTGCAGTTTTATGAAGGAAATAATAATTACGAAAGAAATAATGGATATACTTTCTCGTATTTTATTTTATGCTCGATAAAAATGACGGTAAAAATTTCTGTTTAATTTTCTTTTACAACACATTTTAAAAAATATATATTTATAAAAAAAAGTTTTATGAAGGAAATAATGGATATGGTTTCTTATATTTTATTTTATACTAAATAAAATCTAAAATATTTTTTTTTAATTTTATTTTCTAGAAAATTAAAAAAAAAACATGTATACACAATCATGGTTTTATGAAGGAAATAATAATTATACTCTAATTAAAGAAGATATAATTGCAATTTATATGTCTATAAAGCAAGAGAAGTTCAGTATTTCATATCAATATAAATAATAATACAGTCAAAATAACCTTAAAACAATTCTAAACTTCATTCATAAAAATATAATCTTGCTTTGCAAACGTCAGCAAAACTTATGTACGAGGTACGAGGCTGATCTATCCTCGTACCTCGTACATTACGTCATAACCTCGTACAAATACGAGGATCCTCGTACAAACGGCAACACTGATTGCAAACCGCTCCACACGGTTATCCTCATCCCTCATCATGTGTTAAATGCATGCAAAGGTGGGAATTCGTTAGAAACTGAAGCTTATTTACTTATATATACAGGGTGTTTCAGAGTTAAATGGCCAAACTGAAAATATGAATTAAGGGCATCAAAAGAAGTAAAACTTTCCTCTGAAGGTATGTACGTAAACGCTTTGTTTAGGAGATATTCACACATAATGATTTTCATTGTTATGATTTTTTTTACGTTATATTAAGTAATTAAAACTTGTTTAATTGTTTCAACTACTTTATTAATTAAATGTAAACATTACCATTCTTATTAAATGTTGTTCAACGTTATTTCCTTGAGCATCAAGAAAGGCTTAACATATTTCTTCAATAGCAGCAGTGGCAGAACGCCACTATATGGATATGTGTCATTATTTAACAAGATTCGATTATCCTTCTTAGCAAGGAAATAAAGTCCTTGACCGGACTTGCATAGACTTTTTGTTTAATGTCACCCAAAACAAAAAAAAAAATCAGTATACAAACACCATATCAGCATTTTCACCATTAGTATAAATGGAAGACATAATGACTCTGCAAAAGCCTCTTACAAACTGATAAATGTTATTGAGAGTTCCCAATGCTAATCCCAAATAGTATTAATCCTTATGTTGCCGATAGTTTTTATACAGTTAGGGATAAAAGGCCATATTAGTATTCTATCTAATCCATCTCCTAAACAAAGCGTTTGCGGACATACCTTCACTTTGAACAACATTTAATATGAATGGCAATGTTTATATGTAATTAATAAAGTATTTAGAACAAATAAATAGGTTTTATTTATTTCATATAACTCATAATACATAACAACGAAAATCTTTAGGTGTGAATATCTCCTAAGGAAATCCTTTGCGGAATGTTTCAAACCTTCAGAAGAAATGTTTTTCTTGTTTTGAGATCCTTAGTTGATGTATATAGTAAACAAAAGTGGATTTAGATAATTTTTTAACTTATTTAAAAGTATTGAGAAACTTACTGTGACAGAATATTGACATACTGCTCTTGTGATTTATCATACCAATCAATCTCCATCGACAACATCTTCGATAGGTAGGCAGTCTTAATATTGGCTAAAATGTTACGAGAAGCTATCTCAGAAGCCATAATCTGAAATATTAAACCACTAAGTATTAATGAGCTGTTGGTTGTTAGGTAGATAAAGAGAAATAAAATTGTTTCAAAAATAGTTAATTTTCTAGTTACTAATTACATTATTTATAGTGGCTATGATCAAGTCGACCAACATTCTCCACGTTCTTGTCTGTGTTTCCTAAAGCATAATTGTGTTTTGTGATGTCGTCAATATGGAAGTTGTTTTTTTTTGTTTTTTTATTAGGTTTTCGACAACTTAAGGAGTCATATCCCCAACACCCAAAAGCCACTGCTCCCTGCCCATCCAATCTCCTTCACGGAGCCCTCTGGCTGCCATGCTTTCCTCTACGTCCTCTATCCATTTCTTCTTTGGCCCTTCCATGCTTACTTCTTTCAGGTGGCAAATAGTTATAAATTTTCTTTGTCCAGCGGTTCTCATCCATCCGCATTAAGTGGCCATACCACTTTAACCGTTTGGTCCTGATCAGGTGAAGGATGTTCTTTTGACATCCGGCCTTTTCTCTAATAGCTGCGTTTGGGATCCGCTCGATTCTAGACACAGCTTCTTCTCCAGAAATCTATTTCCATGGAAAGCAGCTTATTTTCCATCTTTTTTGTCAGTGTCCAGACTTCTGATACGCTCGCTTTCTACAAAGGAATGGTATATCTTCTTTTTAGTTTCCAATCTTATTTCTTAACTCCATAGGGTTGAATTTATCGAACTTATTATTCTTTTCCCATTATTTATTTTATGTTCGATGTCAACCTCACTATCTTCCTTTGAAGATAGCCCGTATCCGAGGTACTTGAACTGCTGGCTGACATTGAGTGTCCAGTCATCAATTTCAAGGGGAAAATTTGGAGCGTTGAAAATGCTATATGGAAGTATTTTGCAAAAAGTGACTAAAGAAATTTATACGGGGGGAGAAAATAAAACTAGTGAAAATAACACCATACTTTATGTCTTGTCCTTGTAATATTTTTTTTTATTGCCAAATATTAATAAATTTATTATTAAAACACTTTATTCAGAAATATTACAATTTGTCACAGTTTAAGGACACTTATAATAGAGTTCAGAGATTGCATTCATACCGTATATACAAAAATATAAATAAATAAAGTAATAACAAAAGAATAAGAAAAAAAGAACAAAAGAGTAAAGAAAATATATATATATATATATATATATATATATATATATATATATATATATATATATATATATATACACATAAGTAAATAAAAATAGAAATAAAAGTAAAACAAACACCTTATATAAAACATACCTATATACATTATTTACAATTTGCCAGGTGATCTCCGAATCAATCCTTTCCCCTCCACATGTGGAGGGGAAAGGGAGGCTTAGGAGATCCCTACGCTTCTCCCTCAGCAACTTCACTGGTATTTTAAACCAGCGGAGGATGAGTAAGAGCGCTACAGCCACAGACACTCATGATTTGAGTGGAGAATCTGGCCATAGCTAGAACTCCAAAATATCCATATTTTATTAATAAATTGATAATTTTTTCTGTTATTATATTTAATTTTACATATTAATACTTAGCTGTTGGCTATCAAAACTATTATTAAACCAATACTTCAATGTTAAATCTCTTCCTCTTATTTTATTGATTATAATCATTGAAACGATAAATGTCGAAACATCTCCATTTATGTTTCAATATTCACATTCTTACTCTTTATACCTTGTTCTACCACAAATACTGTTACAAAAGTTAAACTTTGTTTACATCCTTGAGAATTATTTAGATAATCCTTACCTCTATTTAGGTTATTCTCTTTAAATGTCAGGATAATAATCTCAATTAGTTTGCATTTTTCTTTCGCTCAGTTAACGTGGAGTGGGGTGATGAAGAAAACCGAATAGCTGTGATCGCCTTACACAAAGTTGAAAAAAGTAGGTCAGAGATTTTCAACACTTAGAAACCTTTGGGTATCAGTCGTATGCTCGTGTACTACACTATAAATAGATGTAATGAGACCCGATCTGTATGTGAAAGACCTCGACCGGACCGTCCCCGCACTGTGAGAACGGCAAATGCAGTCAGAGCAGTGGCTGTTCGAAAAGAACAAATCATGTCTTGGAAAATGGGAATCTCTGTCAGATCAATGTGTCCCATATTAAAAAGCGACCTCAGGATGGGTTCATTCCGAAGAATGACTGGACAAAGGCTAACCACTTCCCTAAAAAAATAACCACTTCCATAAAGTGGACAGATGTTATCGGAAGTTATCGTGTGTTCACACTCAGCTCTAAAGAAACCCAGGAAGTCACTGGAAGAGTGAAAAAAAGTCATCACCCTTCCTCAACGGATAGACAGTTTGCTTTGATGGCACCACAAAGTTCCATTTTGTGAAAAATGAGTTAAACAAACGCTAAAAACTATCAGGACGATATTTTGGAACCTGTTGTCAAGTCTCTAAATGATACTCTGTCTGCTGGAAGTCATTGGGATTTCTAGCAGGAGCTAGCTCCAGCTCTCAACGTCAGATCAACTCCGCAGTGGCTGCGAAAAAACATTCCAAAGTTCATCTCTGCCTCGGATTGGCCCTTAGGAAGCCCTGATCTCGACCCAGTAGATTATCAAAAGGAGTACATTTTGAGTAATTTCTTTTTTGTTTTACTCTCTATAGATATACATTTTATTTTATAATAAAACTAGCTTTACCCGGCCACGCGCTACTGTGGCTTAGCCTGACAATATGGAAAAAGAAAGAAAATAGAAAGCACGTATGAGTAGATTAATAGCAAAGGACCTCTGTCATTTTTAAAAAGCTGGGAAACAAATTTGTCTGTAAAATGGCTTCAATTTAAACTAATTCTAATTGTTTTTTTTCTCATGATTCAAATTGAACATTCATAATCATCCGAGTGAATACGCCAACATTCATAATTATCAGAAACAGTCTGAGTTGAACTTCATATTAATGAGTCTGAGTTGAAGAATCATATTAATTCTTCAAATGATAATTTCAATTACTGTAGTAATTATAAAATTTTCGATTAAAAATGCTTGCCTAGCTTCGGTAGTGAGGAAGCAAAAGGAAATGGCCTTTTCTGAAGAGAAAGCAGTAAATGCTTAAAACTCTATAACTCTGCAACGAACCGTCCGATTTCGATGATTTTTTTTTTTTTACTTTGTCAGCAATTCAGAAATCTTTCATATAAATATAGGTACTATAAGTCAAAAATTCTGTACTTTTTTTAGTTATCGTCAAATAAAATATTGAATTCATCGTAACATTTTTCAGCTTGTTTTCGGGAAAGTATGTTATACACATAAATTAAAAGTGTTTCAATTGGAAGACTTTAGCCAAGTTTCGTTTAAATCGATAAAGTCGTTTTGACGATACAGTTTATAGCGACACATTTTTTTATAGCTTTGAACAGAAAAACATTTGCATTTTAATTTTTTTTTACATATATAAAATTATCGTAAGACAGATATACTATTCCAGAAACCTTCCCAGGAGTGTACGGAACAACTTCCCAAAGTTTCATGGTGATCGGATGAATGGTTTCGTAATGCACAAAGGACAAACAGACAGACAGGCATACATTCATTTTTATATACATTTTATACATAGATTTTTGAAAAAAATAATTTTTCTGTTGAAATCTGTATATATTTTCTTGTAACAATATTTATAATAGAACTAGGTACAACAGTGACAAACTGATATCGTTTCCACATCATTTCTTACCTGAATGAAGCCAGAAATTAGTGTGACTCCAGCACTGATGACGTAGCCATAGCCGTACTTAATCAACTCGGGGATCTGTTCAGTCATGTTGACGTTGTATGGCTGTAATTGGTCAAAATGTTGAATTAATATCAATATTTTCTCTATACAGTTCTCAATACTAAGAATAATTTTATTTACGAAATATAATTACATTTCCTGTGGTCTCAGCTCTGATAAATATTATTAAGACTGGTGTTTGCAGTGTGTACATGTTGAAGGGAGCAATGAAGGCGAGAAGGATTGCCATCAAGATGCTGAAGACTAGATTGATTTTGTCCTTCTTCTTCGCGTAGCGTAACTGTTGAGTAAAATCAATCATCAAAACTTAGTTAATTGTGAATGTATACTAACTAATACTATTCTAAAATAAAAAATCTGGTGCACGCAACACACAACTTTCACTTACCGATCTACTTTCATTAGAAATTATTTTCTGGCAATGCTGGGCTATTATAAAATTTTTTGAAGTGCATTTTAAACGGAGCTATAAAGCTTACAGATAACAAGTCATTGAGACCATTATAATTACTTTTTTTTTTAAATTTTATTTTATTGAGATTTACAACTGTATTACATGGAAAATACAATAAGTAAATGTGACATTTATAATTACAAAATGTCTATTTAATACATCGACGATAGGTAATAAAAATCTAGTCACTCTATCTGCTTTTATAAAAAAACAAAACAACTTTCTTTGCTAGAATGATTAACTCCAATTTCAACATTTTTGAGTGTTGTCATTTTAGTGATATTTTTAGTTGAAAAAGTTATCTATGCAGACAGTGAGTAAGTTGATTCCAGAGTAGGTGAATGCAGTGTTTAAATATAGAACTGAGAATAAAGGTATAAATTTAGATACTTATTTCTTATAAAAGATGTTCTTAGGAAAGATACTTTATTAAATATCAGTAGAAAAAAGGTTTTTTTAGTCTCAACAATTAAAAAAGTATATTTTAAATTTATCCAAATGTTCGTCTCTTCAGGGAAAAAAACTAGAGAGCATATCTTTCCTTCTAATTCTCCGATTTTAACGATTTTTTTTTAGGAAATTCCATAAACTTTTAAAAAACCATCTACACTATCCAAAAAAGCGTATACTTTTTAAGTTATTCGGAATTTAATTTTACTATCCCTCGTAACTTTTTTCCAGCTTCTTTTCGTTAAAATATGTTGAAGTATATAGATAAATTTAAAGAGTGTCGAGAAAATGACTTTAGCGAAGTTTCATTCGTTTAGGCGCTACA